CAGAGAAGAGCACCTTGCTCTACCTTATTTGCAAGGAAGCTGTCTTTACTGCGGTAGTGGGCACTGGTCAAATAGAGGACTAGCTAGACAATGTAAAGATCAGAATCTCAGGGGCGTCGGAAAGTATTTTAGTGTGGTACGGCCAGCCATCTGAAGTACAATATGTTTTACTCGTGGCGGAGGGATGGCTGTGCCGAAAATTTTGGAAATTTAGAGCCCAAGTAAGTGCACTCTTTTGATTGATTCACTGGGTACTTCGGTCAAATAGTGGTACGGTCAATACCGTAGTGACCGTACTGCGTGCGACGCCCCTGAGATAGATTAGAAACAACCCTGGGGAAATACAACACACAATTTTATGAGTGCTACCCATATTTTATTGCTGTATCAAATCAGGTCTGACAGTGTCTCCAGTGCTCTGGCTGTCCACAGATTTTGCTTTCAGGAGGTGATTCTCTACACATGTGCGTGCATACAAACAGGCAAGTGGGCACAGACACAGACACACACAGACGACAGACAGACAGACAGACATACACACACATACTTCTCTTTCAACACTACATGAACGCAGGAGTACAGTGGCATAGCAGCAGTATCAGTCACGCTGCTCAAGGTCGTACCCGACAGATCAGTACTTATCGACTGACTTGACTTGATATGTTTCCAAAGATCACCACATACATACTGAACAAATCGACCTGTGGGTACACAAGGAAACACACATGAATGCGCATGCAAACATACACATGCACACACACGCATGCGCGCTTGCACCCACACACACACACACACACACACACACACACACACACACACACACACACACACACACACACACACATTATTGGAAAATCTGCAGGAGGAAAAGTTCAGAACCAGTTCATCGCTACCAAGGCTAACACATCTGTTGACAAGGCTATGCCAGTTTTTCTGTCCCATGGCACATGGGGGCAGTTCTCCACCAGGAGATCTGCAACCTACAGAATATACGGTCTATATCAGTGGCAACCAGTCAGTGTTTTCCGCGTGTTTACTACAGGGGTATAACAGTTATGCGGCTTGTTGCAGCACACGGCAGAAAAAGAATCCTACGCTCTCCCTCCTCCCGAGCCTCTTCCCCTTGCACAACATGGCCAAACAGAGTAACCGAGTGTCATGAATATGAAATTCACAGCAACTTGACTCGGAGCGGTTGGGAGACGGAAACATGCGACCTGGATAGGGAGGTGCTCGCCTTCGCTGAGGAAGATTGCGTCAAGTCACCTGTAATACATTGTATAGTAAGCTGCCAATACAGACCTGCCTCAATGTTATTCTGGAAACAACAGCTGTCCAAGTGGAAGATGAGATGACGGGAGAACTTCTTTTCTGTGCTAAGCAGGTCGAACAAACGAATGCAGGTATTACCCCATATGCACATCCATACATGTACGCACGCACGCATGCACGCACGCATACAAACACACACACACACACACACACGCGCACACACACACACACACACACACACACACATGAGACACCGACAAGAGCGGAGCTCCTCAGAATGAGACAGGCAAAAAAGAAACTAAGAGAACAGGCAGATTTAGCCCAGTGCATCCAAGTGGTAGCGACCAACAACTAGCACACAGCTAGTAATCGTATCGAACAGAGATACACAGTCCATCACAAACTTTTATTTCCATGGAAATCCATTTCAGCTTGCACTCCTTACGTAAAAAGTACATAGCTGGATCAATAACGCAGCAACCCACTCAAACCGTGCATCGAACTGTACGACTGGACAAGCCAGCTAATATCCCTGTTCTGTTCCGTCGTACACAACTACAGGTACTCGTTCAGTAACGGATCACCTGCTAAACATAAGCAGCCTTTGTTGCGGGAATGCAAAGCGACAGAGCGAGCTTTTGCCTTCTAAAGCACACACATGAAAACTGCTCAAAACTGGCAGCCCTGGCAGGTGAAGCCCGAAGTAGTCACAGAGTCCATGTGATATGGAAGTGTGCAAACAGCTTCTTCCCACAATGGTCTTGAATCTCTTTATTTTCGAAATGCACTGTAGGTTGCACGGAATATAGCTGTTCGATGGTAGATTGTCTTACCTGGAATCCAGGTCTAGCACTCGCTCAGGCGAACACTCTATGCTGTATTCTTGATGCAGATAGAAACACACCACCTGTATAGGACAACACCACAGGCGGCCACGGCAGGATGTGAGTGTGCAGACTGGTGCACGCCCATACGTGTCAGTGTGCATGTGCGTTGCGTGCACATAATGTGTGTGTGCGCGCGTGTGTGGCAACACGTTGCGTGAGCATACCGGTATGTGAACATCCAGTTACTGAGTAAACTAGCTAGCCATACAGGTGCAGGAGAGAGAGAGAGAGAGAGAGAGAGAGAGAGAGAGCGAGAGAGAAAGAGAGCGAGAGAGAGAGAGAGAGAGAGAGAGAGAGAGAGAGAGAGAAAGAGAGCGAGAGAGAGAGACACACACACACACAGAGAGATAGAGAGAGAGACACAGAGAGAGACACAGAGAGAGAGAGAGAGAGAGAGAGAGAGTTTTTACCTTCCATAGCCTGCTGAATGACACATGTGTGCCCCCATGGCTTAGGGGTTAAAGCGCCTGTCTAGTAAACAGGAGATCCCCGGTTCGAATCCGGGTGGTGGCTTTTTGTTTTGTTTTGTTGCAGTACATATAATGTACATGTACCGTGTTTCCCCGACTATGTTGCACTCGAATATAAAGCTGTGTTCACAACTGGCGCGTGTATGCATGAAAACAGGCGTTCGTGCGTATTTTTGCTGGCTTTCGGGGCACCATGCATACGGAAACGCGTCGAAATGGAAATTCCAACATGTTGGAATTCTCAGCGAGTTTCAAGCGCGTACCAGCGTACATACCAGTCACTTTGACTGGTGGGGTCCAAAAAATAGTACCCGAAGGCGTCACACGCCCTAAATACGAGTTGAATTGCTGTTTTTGTGAAAGCCTGAGCGAGCCAAATTATTTCGATACATTTACTAGTAATGGTCCTCTGTGGCAGGTGGTCGCCTTATCTGAGTGGTCACCTTGACAGGTTTTCCTGTAGTTCACTTGGAGTGCTCACCAAATTGTTGGGCACGACACATCACCAGGATCTAATCAGAGTACAGTAAAACCTGTGAAGGCGACCACTCTGATAAGGCGTCTCTTATTGGCGATGGGGCCATCGTGAGAATAAAGAGTTTAAAAAAGGCGCCACCTTCCCCAGAGGACCACCAGAACTATGACCAAGGGAGTTAGTTATGTCTCAGTCAAATGGCCCTGGATAAGGAGACCACCTATACACTGCTACCACAATTCGAAGGTCCCTCGAGGGGTTGCCGTAGACAGGTTTCATTGTACTTATTCTGGTCTTTTTTTTCAACCTGATGAAGGGCCATACCCAAAAATTAGGTGAACCCTTCCAGTGACGTATGCAGCAAAGAGACCAGGTTTCGAGTGGAGGTATCACTGACTGTATCAACTAGATCAAGAGTTCATAATCCCAGAGTATTCAACTCGGCACACGGGCTCTGGCGGGCGCGAGGGGCAGCCTACATTACCTAGCCACGAACTGGGAAATCCACAAGGCCGTTGCATCAATATTAACACAGAGGTTAAGATGCACGTTATTGCTGACGTGACGCGAAAGTTCAGCTCGCGTTATTAGGCTCGCGCATCGAAAAACAACGCAAGTGACCTGCAGCTCACGTCGAAATTTGGAGTTTTACGCCAAAATTGGCGTGAAGTTGCGCGTCACGTCGGAAATAACGTGCATCTTAACCTCTCTACTCTGCAACGGCACAGCGTTTTCCAAAGTCTCGCCGAAAATCATATCTGGAAGCGGTCGGTCGGACTTGAGGAAATGGAATTGAGGACTGCACTACAGCTCACTATGGCCGACTCATATGGCGGTAAATGCGCGCCGGGCAAAAAGGCAGTCAATACACGTCTGCCAAGAGTACATGACCCCCAAGAGTGTGCAACTCCCACATACCCTGCTGTCCCGACAGAATCTCAAGTTGACGTCACTATTTATGATGCAATGCTCCTTGCACCAGTGATTTACAACATGTGTACGGGTGTCAACGCATCACACGTTTTTCTTTCCAATAATTTGTACAGGATCAGATGGGCTTTGGTCCACCACAGCTTCCGGATTCGTCTGATAATCCCTGTGCAGTGTGCATTGCATCATAAAAATGACGTCAACTTTAAATTCTGTTGGGACAGCACCCATAGTCGAGCTGCACACTCTTGAAGGGTTATGTACTCATGGCGCCTGCCCACACATGCTCTCTTAGTAAGCTGCACATTTACAGTCTGGCACAGAGCTCTCCCTCCCACCACCACCATCAGTTTGCACATGGCGAACTAGAATGAGAAGTACATGATAATACCCAACCCCACCTCCCACCCCCAGCCCCGTGCTGATTGGTAGGATTCCTCTGCCCAATCAGAAAGGTAAGCTACCTTTTAGTTTTCCAGTCCTCATCCAGCTTCATCCCTGCCCTTCTTGGCCGTACTGTCAACTCCCAAGAGCGGGATTTGCTTGGTTCACCAAGTCGCTTCGGGAGGCCTTGGTTTGGTTGTGTCCAGTTCCTCCGCTTCCCAGCACACCTCCTCGAAGGACATTGCTACCCCACTGTCTCACCGTGTGGCGTAACAGGAGCATGATTCGGGTGACGCAGCATCTATTGTCAGAAGCCGAAAACGAGATGCCCTCGCCAGGACCAGAGACGCCACTCGTGCGGAGGCCCTTAACACTACATCTGCCCTTGATCCGGAGAAGCAGCGCAATGTCAAGCTCGCCGCGGAGACAGGTTCCAGCAGTTGGTTTACATGCAGGCCTCAGAAACAGCACGGATTCACCCTCACGAAAGGTGAGTTTCGTGATGGCAGTCACCTACGCTATAATTGGCTGCCATCCCGACTACCTAGCAACAGCCCTTTAGAGGCTCATGAAAGCCATGATCTTGGGGAACATCTAAGTCCAGCCCGTAAAATTCTCAGACACCACCTGTAGCAAACAAGGCGAAAGCATGTTACTGAGTTTCATGCAAAAACCTGTGACGCAGCGTCTGGGATACACGGCAGACGCACATGTTGCAATACGAACGCATCCGTTTTTCGATTCAATACAGTGTGAGGCGCTAGAATCGGGTAATATCAATCCGTCATTCATCCCACAGTTTGACTCTAAGTCAGACACTAGTAACTTTGATAAGGAGTACACGGACAAGGTCACCATTCTCAGGCCCATCGATGAAAGGATTCCATCTTCACGGTACAACGAGGTGAGAGACATCACACCAGCGGAGAAGCGTCTGGGATGCACAGCAGACGCACAGGTTGCACTATGAACGCATCCGTTTTTCGAGTCAATACGGTGGGAGGCGCTAGAATTGGGCGATATCAATCCGCCCTTCATCCCACAGTTTGACTCTAAGTCAGACACTAGTAACTTTGATAAGGAGTACACGGACAAGGTCACCATTCTCAGGCCCATCGATGAAAGGATTCCATCTTCACGGTACAACGAGGTGAGAGACATCACACCAGCGGAGAAGCGTCTGGGATGCACAGCAGACGCACAGGTTGCACTATGAACGCATCCGTTTTTCGAGTCAATACGGTGGGAGGCGCTAGAATTGGGCGATATCAATCCGCCGCTCATCGCACCGTTTGACTCGAAAACAGACACATCAAACTTTGATAAGGAGTTCACGGACAAGGTCATCGTTCTCAGGCCCATTGATGAAAGGATTCCATCTTGACGGCACAACAAGGTGAGAGACATCACACCAGTGGAGAAGCGTCAGGGATGCACAGCAGACGCACAGGTTGCACTATGAACGCATCCGTTTTTCGAGTCAATACGGTGGGAGGCGCTAGAATTGGGCGATATCAATCCGCCGTTCATCCCACCGTTTGACTCGAAGACAGACACTTCTAACTTTGATAAGGAGTTAACAGACAATGTCACAGTTCACAGGTCTATCGATGAAAGGATTCCATCTTCACGGTACAACAAGGTGAGAGACATCACACCAGCGGAGAAGCGTCTGGGACGCACAGGTTGCACTATGAAAGCATCCGTTTTTCGAGTCAATACGGTGGGAGGCGCTAGAATTGGGCGATATCAATCCGCCCATCATCCCACCGTTTGACTCGAAAACAGACACATCAAACTTTGATAAGGAGTTCACGGATAAGGTCATCGTTCTCAGGCCCATTGATGAAAGGATTCCATCTTGACGGCACAACAAGGTGAGAGACATCACACCAGTGGAGAAGCGTCTGGGATGCACAGCAGACGCACAGGTTGCAATACGAACTCATCCGTTTTTCGATTCAATACGGTGTAAGGCGCTAGAATTGGGTGATAAAAACCCACCATTCATCCCACAGTTTGACTCTAAGTCAGACACTTGTAACTTTGATAAGGAGTTCACAGATGAGGTCGCCTTTCTTGCGGCACACCTCTTCGAAGAACATTGCTAGCCCACTGTCTCAGCTTGTGGTCCAGCAGGAGCATGATTCGGGTAATGCAGCATCTATTGTCAGAAACCGAAACGAGACGCCCTAGCCAGGACCAGAGACGCAAGTCGTACGGAAGCCGTTAACACTACATCTGCCCTTGATCCGGAGACGCAGCGCAATGTGAAGCTCGCCGCGGAGAAAGGTTCAAGCAGTTGGCTTACACGCAGGCCTCTGAAACAGCACGGATTCACCCTCACGAAAGGCAGGTTTCGTGATGGCAGTCACCTCCGCTATAATTGGCTGCCATCCCGACTACCTAGCAACAGCCCTTTAGAGGCTCAACGAAAGCCGTGATCTTGCGGAACATCAAAGTCCAGCCCGTAAAATTCTCAGACACCACCTGTAGCAAACATGGCCAAAGTGTGTTACTGAGTTTCATGCAAAAACCTGTGAAGCAGCGTCTGGGATGCACGGCTGGGGCGCAGGTTGCAATACGAACTCATCCGTTTTTCGATTCAATACAGTGGGAGGCGCTAGAATCGCGTGATATCAGTCCGTCATTCATCCCACCGGTTGACTCTAAGTCAGACGCTGGTGACTTTGATAAGGAGTACACGGACAAGGTCACCATTCTCAGGCGATCGTTCTCAGGCCCACTGATGAAAGGATTCCATCCTTATGGCACAACGAGGTGAGAGACATCACACCAGTGGAGAAGCGTCTGGGATGCACAGCAGACGCACAGGTTGCAATACGAACTCATCCGTTTTTCGATTCAATACGGTGGGAGGCGCTAGAACAGGGTAACAAAAATCCGCTATTCATCCCACCGTTTGACTCTGACGGGCATGGGTCAGCACTGCTCCACCCTCTACAAACACATCGCCAACTCGACAGCTGAGAAGACTGGCGAGCCACAAAGCGTAGTCATGGCCTGGGCTAGGTACCGCCTCAGTTTTCGCTCTCCAGGGGTCGAGCATCATGCGTATTTGCGGTGCCCGCAACCTCAGACCCTGCGGTGATGTCTGAACACCTGCCGCTCTCGCAGTGACGGAGGCAGCCATCCAGCAGCTGGACAGACCCTGTAACACGTCGCCATGCGTATTGCCAATTTGCCATTGTCTGTTTCAATATTTGCTCGTGACTCTCAGAGGCAGCCATCCAGCAGCTGGACAGACGCTGTAACACGTCGCCATGCGTATTGCCAATTTGCCATTGTCTGTTTCAATATTTGCTCGTGACTCTCAGAGGCAGCCATCCAGCAGCTGGACAGACCCTGTAACACGTCGCCATGCGTATTGCCAATTCGCCATTGTCTGTTTCAATATCTTCTCGTGACTCTCAGAGGCAGCCATCCAGCAGCTGGACAGACCCTGTAACACGTCGCCATGCGTATTGCCAACTTGCCATTTTTTTGTTTCAATATGTGCTCGTGACTCTGAGAGGCAGCCAGCACTACGGGTAAGTGTACTAGATTTTCTCTCCTTGTTTTTCTTTTTTTCTCTCTACAAAATCCACATATCTCCAGACACTGGGGTGAATAATGGAGTGTGGTGGTGGGGCCCATTAAAGGGGAAGTTAAGGCAAAAATTAAAATTTCACCAGTTGTAGTCTTCGGGGTGCTGAGTCGAATGGTCTTGGTCCGAGGAAGCTGAGACGCTCCCTTCCTACTTGAATCCCAATCGAACTCGCGCACTTCCACCGAAACTGGGTGACTGCGCCCTACGAGATGGGGATTTGTATGCAAAATGTCACTAAAAGCGCCATTTCGTTCTTATAAAAGCACGGATGACCGCGATTGGCCCATATGTTGTAGTCTTTTGGACGCTGAGTTGACTGGTTTTGGTCCGAAAAGGCTGCGATGCAGCGTTCCTCCTTTATTCCCAATCGAACATGGTTGAACAAGTGGTCACGTGCTCCTGGGTGCCCAAATCACCTGGTCACCACGCCAGCAGGTGACAACTTTCACACCAAGGTTCAACTCGAGTTCAACTCGAGTGACAGGACTGCACCCAAAAAAGGTCAAACAGGCTAGTAAGTTGTACCCTGCAGGCACGGTGACCAGGTGACTGGCGTACGCAGGAGCACGTGACCGCTTGTTCAACCATGTTCGATTGGGAATAAAGGCGGAACGCTGCATCGCAGCCTTTTCGGACCAAAACCAGTCGACTCAGCGTCCAAAAGACTACAACATATGGGCCAATCGCGGTCATCCGTGCTTTTATAAGAACGAAATGGCGCTTTTAGTGACATTTTGCATACAAATCCCCATCTCGTAGGGCACAGTCACCCAGTTTCGGTGGAAGTGCGCGAGTTCGATTGGGATTCAAGTAGGAAGGGAGCGTCTCAGCTTCCTCGGACCAAGACCATTCGACTCAGCACCCCGAAGACTACAACTGGTGAAATTTTAATTTTTGCCTTAACTTCCCCTTTAAGCTCAGCCGACCAGAGGTCTCGGTTCATAGCTCCTTTACTGTGGCTCTCCCGCCATAACGTAAAGTGCCACTTTCAGATTTCTACAGTCACGTAACATAATCATGTATGTACCTTTACAAACAACGCTGTGCATAGATCAGGGTCATGTCCACCGTTGTGTTCCTTGGCGTACTCCAGGTCAAAGTATAGTCTGCAAACACATCCTGGGTAACACAGACACAGAAAAATAGAAGAAAAAACGTGCAATGAGAATGAGAACCCGAAGGTTTCAAGATAGATGGATAACTGCAGTTGAACACGGGGGGGGGGGGGGGGGGAGGGGGACCAGGGAAAAAAAAGCCACCACCCGGATTCGAACCGGGGATCTCCTGTTTACTAGACAGGCGCTTTAACCCCTAAGCCATGGCGGCGCACACATGAACTGTGCGGCAAACTGAAAACAAAACAATGGCATAAAAATGTGTATGATCGATGGTAAACTGCTCCAAAGAGGGTAGAGAGAGGTTACGCACAACGGAAATTCCTAAGATTTGAGAGCTGTGGCCGGGACAAACAAAACCCGGATAAAATTCCATCAATTTTTGATGGACAAGAAGCACAGTTTCGTTGCAATCGCCATACTGTCGTGCAGTAATGTACACCACCTGTGTACTGTAAAAGCAGAAATTTGGTGTAATTTGTTCGGTAGACTTACAATGCATTTATCTCTCGCTTCTGGATTCTGTGCAATCTACTTCTGATAGAGCTGCTTGGCTCGACATTGTCAACAGATGCGTTGACCTCATGCAATGAGTGATATGCGAACTGTCATTATTATTATTGTAAGGAAAAAAAATTGGAGGCGTATATAATTTCGAAAGAAAAGGTGACAGCACCGACGCAATCCACACAGTCAAGTAAGCCAATTCGGTACCGAACGTTTTCGCTCCCTTCTCATCATGGGTAAGTACAGGGAATAATGGAAAAATGTCAAAATACAGCAATCTTTGCTTTTGCTGTAGCTCTATAAATTGCTGTATTTTTATTTTTATTTTTTTACTAAGTACACAACCTACTCCTCAGAAGTTTCCGATGAATGGACTCAGCCTAGGAGTCGTTTCAGCTCCACAGCATTCGAACGTTAAAAAAAATACAGGGGTCGTATTTCAGTTTGCGGCCGCTATATTTCACCAGCCATGTACACAGTTGCACATGTACAGTGCTGCTCAATGAAACCCGGTCGTGTGTGAGTCAGGCTTGGGTCCTGCACCATTCACAGCCCAGTGTTTGCAGGTCTGGGACTGCACAGTGCCCGGCGCGTACCGACTCACTTGATTGGATTTCATTGAGCACCACTGTACTTGCAAAGCGCTGCTCTATGTTATGATACAAAGCCCCAAAAAGGTTCATACTATGGTTGTACGCGCAAGGGTCTATACAAATCATTTGCTTTGCCCGACCAGACGAAAAAATCCGCAAAAAAAGCCACCACCCGGATTCGAACCGGGGATCTCCTGTTTACTAGACAGGCGCTTTAATCCCTAAGCCATGGCGGCAAGTACACAAACCAAACTGAAAATCACAGCATCATCTTCTTTGATCCGCTCACAGGAGCTGTGTTGCTTCAACATCCACCAGTCCTAGCAGCACATCTGCCACGCATGCTGTTTAGCTGCTCAGGCGCGATGTCCACCTGTAGGCTACATGACTTTCAAGCATCGTCATGAGCTAGTTTTCAAAACCGGACGTGGAGGATCTGGCTTCTGTCAGCTCAGCCCAAACAGACAAATGGCGTCGTAATAAACCCTGACAATCCTTCTGTAACACTATAAAGCGCAAGACAATCGTAATGCTGATGGTACTAGGCCGTTTTACCAATACAGGTAGACCCCCTCCAGTTCGAACCTCAAATTACCAGGCCCCAACTTCAAATTACCCGGAACCTCTAATTATCCAAAGGCAGTCACATGTCATAAGCCTGATATGTATTGTATTGTATTTTATTATTTTACTTGGGCATTCCCAACAGACCCTAAAGTCTTCTTACAGAGTGCCCATATGTATCGGCATGGGCCGGATAATTTTGACGCCGAATGCAGTATGTTGTGAGTGCATATCGAATTCGACTGGTATGCATACGATGCACTACTAGAGACCGTTATTCGCTTATGTTGCGAGTCTGGCCTTCAAACTTTGTCCCTGAAACATGGGGTGGAAAGTAGGGAAAGTTTCACGCATGACTCGCATACAAAAAGGACAGAACCAAGCAAGCGAAGTGCATGCATCAACCTGACGCACTTCCACACACTCTTTCCTGATCATAGTGAGAATGAAGAAGAAAGCCATGGGCGCAGCGGGAGTGATGCGGGTTTTGAAGATTCGGAGAGGAGTGCCAGTCCTGTCGAAGACAGCGATGATGGCGAGGCATTCGGAGATGAAATTCGCAGAAATATTATCATCCGACGGAAAACAGAATGAACGTGATCACATTTTTCGTCGAAAGCTTGATTTCAAATAGCCAAATGTGTAACTTTCGAGCGAAAAGAGAGTGTTGGACTTGATACGAATGTTTCTGACTATGGTCGATCTTCCACGGTTTACTCAAATACCGGATTTTAGCTGTGCTTTATGCCCTTACAACACCAGTGACATAAAAAATGTAAGATTCATACCTTCTGGTATCACCTCGTAGAACGTGCGCTCGAGCTTCTTTATCGACCTGAAACATGAGCACGAAATGAAAGAGAGAGAGAGAGAGAGAGAGAGAGAGAGAGAGAGAGAGAGAGAGAGAGAGAGAGAGAGAGAGAGCGACGTAAAACACGTTTGACTGCAAGATCTCCTCATACCAGGTTGGAAATGAATGATGAGTGTGTGTGCGTGTGTGTGTGCAATGAAAAAAGACCAAAAGGTAGGGATTCACTGGCCAGAAAAAGCCACTTCATAGCTGTGCGGTGTAGGCCAGGCTGAATAGTGGCGGTCAATTCTTCAGCCTTGCAAGCTGTTGAATGGTGCAATCCCAGCACAAGCTGCTATGGCTTCTGCCGTAGCATCGCTATCATCGCCTCCGGCGATGGGCGTCAATTGGTCAAATGGTGTGCACGCACGCGCGTGCGCGAATGAAAGAGAGAAGAGAGAGAGAGAGAGAGAGAGAGAGAGAGAGAGAGAGAGAGAGAGAGAGAGAGAGAGAGAGAGAGAGAGAGAGAGAGAGAGAGAAAGAGAGAGCACTTACTTGTACCACGAGTAGAATTGGTAATAGGAGGACACAAGGAATCGCCGACGACCTTGACCTCCCAAGAGAGGATCCTCGAACGAGAAGACGTGTAAATTCTGCAAAGCAAGAACATCCACAATGATATACCAGAAAAGGCACATGAACTTCAAAACATTCACTGGTTTGAGGGAAAGACACAAACATAAATTGTTCCTTGCTGCAAAAGGAAGACAGAGGAGACACTTACACAGGAACCAGTACGTGATACTGATTCAAATTGGCCAGGGCGAGATACCGTATGTAAAAAAGCATTGCAACAGAAAAAATGAAAAAAGCCACCACCCGGATTCGAACCGGGGATCTCCTGTTTACTAGACAGGCGCTTTAACCCCTAAGCCATGGCGGCAAGTACACGCACCATGCTGAAAACCATAGCATCATCTCCAACAAGTGTGAGGTGCACCCTGGTAGGTGCACTCCGATGCATGGCCGTAGTGCTGACGTAAGACAAGAGGATCTCGCAGAGAGAGATGCCGCAGGTCATGCATACTTGCTCACACTGCGGATCATGAAGTACTGTGATTTCACAAATTTTCGGTATAATTTTATTCGGACTCGGATGGAGAGCCAAGGATTAATTTATAAGAACAAAAAAGGACCAAGGAACTACAAGTTACGCTATAATGTACACTAACACCACCAGTTACTAAACAATCAGCTCATGCGATAACATTGCACGACACTGACCGACGGTACTGACGCTCTACAACTAACTGACTACAGTGAGACCTGTGTAAGACGACCGCTCAAGGGACCTTCAACATGTGGTCTCTGGTACCAGGTGGTCTCCTTATCCAGGGTCATTTGACAGGAAAGAGCATGCCTTGATCCTGGTTTCAGTGGTCTTCTTGGACAGGTGGTCGCCTTATCCGAGTGGTCGCCTTGACAGGTTTTACTGTACTTTCGTTTTCGGTACTTTCGGTGCGTCTGTTCCATACCGAAAATTGCAATACACCGAACAAACACTAACACACATAATCCAATAGGGAACTGCTTCTATGCACATAAAATTTTCCGTTCACCTAACCTGGCCTTTTGCCCTCATACCGAAAATATATTGAGCAATTAAAATTTCTGAAATTAGAGTACCGTTTCTTGCGGAGTATAAGCCGCACTTTGAACACCAGAACTTCAAATAAAACGACGTCAGAGCGGCTTATACTACGATGATCAAAAGTGATGGTGGTAAACAGGGTAAATGTCTGCAACTCGTGACGAAATATCCGGGTGCGGCGTATACCCCCAGTGCGACATATATTCCACAAATTACGGTACTGGTGGTACGTACCCCGAACAGAACGCGAACCCTTGGCACCTCTGGGCTTGTCCCGCTTCGTAACGTTCGCGCTTGCTTGTATGGTCTGTACAGTTCTTAAATTTGACTAGAGTTCCTCAAGCGCAGAGTGGCGCTTAGCCCCAGACAGGTGCCAGCAATCTCACTTGCCACCACTATCCAGTCTCCAACCATCTCCAGACAAGGGAGAATGAAGTTGAAGACACCACTGCAGCTGTGCTTATGCTCGATTAATATGGTGCTAAAGACACACCTGTCAATATGGCGGTAAATACACGCCTGCCCACACACGCTCTCCGGGCTGCTAAGCTCTGGCACAGAGCTCTCCTTCTCGCCACCACCACCAGTTCACGCCTGGCGCCTAGTCGATGCATGGTTGGCGGTATCCGACATAGCAGGCTGGTACATCAAGTAGCGCATGGCACATAGAAGATGACACAGCAATGACATAGCTCGATTGCGACGTACGTTTCGTCCCCGCTGGACTCATCAGGCAATCTTCTTCTTGGATGTCTTCCTACGGAGTTTGACTCGGGAGAATGAAGTTAAAGACACCACTGCAGCTGCACTTATGGTTGAATATGGTGGTAAATACACACCTGGCAATATGGCGGTAAATACACGCCTGCCCACACACACTCTCTCTAGGCTGCAAAGTGCCAGCCTGCCACGTCGGATACCGCCAACCATCCGTCGACTTGGCGCCAGGCGTGAACTGATGGTGGTGGTGGCGAGAAGGAGAGCTCTGTGCCGGAACTTTGAAGCCTAGAGAGCGTGTATGGGTGGGCGTGTATTTACCGCCATATTGCCAGGTGTGTCTTTACGACCATATTTATCAACCATAAGTGCAGCTGCAGTAGTGTCTTCAGCTTTATTCAACCACACTTCAGACAATGCATATAAAGTAGCACAGGAATAGAGATAAAAAAGTTAAAGGTAAGTTCGATGCAGTGTCTCAAATATTCTTACACCATGTGATTTGCACGCAAAGTCCATGGCAGGCTGCTGTCGGGAGAAGAACTTCCAGGATTTCCGCGTGACGAGCAGCCGTCCCCTGGAAGAATGCAATTGCATGCACGCAGACGCAGGCATGCAGCCAACCACGCATGCGCGCGCACACGTACACGTACACACACACGCACACACACACGTCACAACAAAATTACATCACCATTCATGCAGCCACATTCGCGCTTCCGCGAAAAATCAAACAACACACGTTCCCCGAGGTTAGAAACCAACTGTCCTGCATGCAAAATTCAGAGTTCACCTTTGCACTTAAACGAGTAATGCAAAACTGGGCATGCTCGAACGAGAGTTTGTGGATTTTGGTGCATTAGTAGAGAGTGGGACGCAGGAAAGATACGTAATGAAGACAGTGCACCGAGCACCGGCACAATATCACAGTCGCATGCTCTTGTCTACACACTCTACGTATGTCTCTTCACCTAGTGCCATGGCTGGCTATCCCCCCCCCCCCCCCCCCCCCCCCCATTCACTACATTGGCGTTGATGTCTTGGCCAAAGCAGCGTGAAAAACAAAACAAAATGTACAGCAAAAAAACCTTATCCGGGCAGGCTGGGACGAGGCAGGTTGGGACCGGGTATGTTCGGACCTGGCACCACCCCTAACTAGGAATTGCGCGTAACTCAGTGCATACAATACTGACCAAATGCAATTGAACACTATTAGTATGCCAATCAATAGGTTTTGCTGATGAAGGCAATTTGCCGAAACGTAATAATTATCATAAAATGAGTTGAATTATTGCCGTGTTAACATGAGAATGGAAGAGAACATGTGGGCTCTACTCTGAACTGTATATGAAACTGCAGGAAGCCTCGCCACTTTTAATCAATAGTTTTAGGCAAAGAAAAGGACCAAGGAACTACACATTCCTCTATACATGTAGCATCCACTAACACCACCAGCTACTTCTAGCTCATTGGTCCTTTTCTTTGCTAAAAACTTATCCTTGGCTCTCCATCCGAATACTTTTTGCCGAAGTTTTTGGGGCCGTTCTTTGTTGAAAACCCGATTGGTGTGACTCTAGAGGGCTTAGAAAGCTGCCCGGCAGCCAAGAGTGCCCCCGCCCGTACATAAGTGATCAGCATCTACCCAATCAAATCCTTACCTGGCAGCAGAGCTAGGGGTGGAGTGAGCCCGGACATTGCTCCGGTCAGTGTCCCGTGATACAGGCACTTTGCAGACCCGTTCAGCTGTGGCTAGTCGCTTGGCAATGCGATCGTCCACTTCATCTCCATCTGTCTGTCTATAGGCAGAGAACCCGAAAACACCCCCATACATACATGGCACATACACACACACATGTGTACACACTCACGCCCCCCCCCCCCCCCCCCCCCCCACACACACACGCACACACAACAAAGAGCCCATGAAAACAATCGGAATACGGAACAGAGCATGAAGAAAACTAAGCACACAAATTGCTAAGCTGAGACTGTGCCAATAGCACCACCACCAGGAGGGTAGGCCTGTATCACTAGGCACCAACTCGTGTGTCATTGCATCCTCCATGATGTGCATCACTACACTTTGCCCACAGAACAGAATATAAAATATGTGGCTGAACCCAAGTTTTTATATCGAGTTTCCATTTTCAGCGATTTCAGACGAATTGTAATTAAAAGCTCTAACGCAAGTCATGTTTACATACTGGTACTACCATGGTGTAGATAAACACAAACCCTGAAATATCGAGGATGCACAAAAATTGGGTAACCCGCTTCAACTTCCCACAACAGTCTCTGTTCACAAGACAAAGAGTGTGCAAATAATCAACCAATTACATCCCAAGCGGTGCCAACGACAACAGTGGCAACGACGAGGTCGAGTCTAGTAGAAAATTGCCTTTGGAATCAACCGTGGTCTGCGCGGTGACATGACAGAACTCGTCCACTGCAAAAATATACAGCCTCGACGAACACAGTAGTGATCCGAAGGAAAGAAACATATTATGATTGTTGTGACTTCTGTGAAAACGCGATAATAATAATAATAAGTGCCGTACCGTTTAGTTCGAGACTTGCCGTAGAACGATGAGGACATCTCGACACAGCATTCCAGACCACACTACTATCATAACAGCGCTGAGCCAGCCATTGACAACGAGCACCAAAACACGTCTTGCCAGGCAAACGATAGAAGCTTCTGACTTGCCAAGAGAAAACTGTAATAATGAATCCATAAAACCAAGAGTAGAGAAGTAGTTTATCTACTCTTGATAAAACTGAACTGTTTGTGCTTTTTGAAATCTTGAATTGTCCAGGCGCACACGTGCAGTAGACTACTAGTACTAGTAGTAGTCTCGCACGTGCTTTTGTCAGTGACGAATGTTATAAACTACATGTACAATACAGTTGTAACTAACTTACTTATGTCATGATGTCATTCGGACCATGTACCAAGCTCTTGTCTTGATCTCGATCTCTTCAGTTTTGAAGTGTTTATTTTCGCGGCTTACTAACTTACTTGGGGGGTTATGTACTCTTGGTACATGTAGTAGCAAGAGTACATAACCAAGACTGGCAAGAGTGTGCAACTGCCTGCACAACCGGTGGGTTATGTACTCTTGATAACCAGGACATGTACCCATGCATGCATGCACATCATCATGCACTGCCGCCTGCCGGCCCCAGTGCCAGGCATATTTTCGAGACTGACAAGAGTCAGGTTACGTCAGGTGCGGGGCAAGGTCAAGTCTTGCCAGCAGAAGAAAATGCCTGTAGGCTAAAGTTTAGCTAACACTTGCAACTAACTACTGAACTAACTTACTAACTTGTTGTTTTCAAGAAAATCTGGCAAAAATCACGCCAAATTTGTTATTTTTGAAGAAAATCTGGCAAAACCACGCAACCGTTGTTGTTTTTGAAGAAAATCTGGCAAAAATCACGAAAGATGCATTTTTACAACGGGGATTCATTTTTACCCCCAAGATGCAAAAATAATGCAAAACATAATGTGGAAAAGCCTAGGCAAGACTCCCCAAGAGTCGACGACTAGTCATACTCATAGCGTCTTCTCTGCAGGCATCTGATGATCTGTGTGTGCGTGGTGTGGATAAAGCAGCCTGGGGTGCGCCCAAAAGTAGATCTACGGAGGACCCCGCGGCCCGGTGGACACGTTGACATAACAATTAACATTGAATAGAAGCACGTATAGTAAGGCGGAGCTCCGGAGGGCGCTCTGCGTCTGACTGTGTCGAAACCAGGGAGTTGGAAAACTAAAAGTCCGAAGCAGTGCTCCTGGTTACCAACCGGTTTGTGGACATAGGATGAAGTCAGGATAGGAGCTCGGCTGCTTTCGACGCAGAAAACGGTCAAGTGCCAGGCTAGTTGAACAGACAGACTCAGTGCAGTGCGCATCGTGGCGCCGGCGGTAGGAGGGTGTGTTCCCGCGAGAAGTGCATCGATTTGTACTTGTACTAAGTTAGTTAGTTGTAGTTCACCAACGTGCAACAGACAGTAAGAGTAAGTAGATCTACTGTCCGTGCACAGCCATTATTCATTATTCGGTACACCATGTACACTGAGTGCATGAACACCGATCAACGACGTAACGAGTTACGTGTCGTTACCAGGTTACTAGTAGTAGTACTAGTAGTAGTACTACTGACTGTAGTAGTAGTACTACATTACTTGCGTAGAAATGTAGATGGCCAAAAAAAGGTTTGTGACCACGAAACGACGTTACAACTAACGAGTAACGTGCACAGTTTTGTAGTGCCACTACCATGACTACAGACTACAGTACAGTTGTAGCAATAGCGAGGTTTTGCATTCCGAAATTCGGCAAAAAGATTCGGCACGCGGGCGGCGAGGTCGAAAATGCACACGAAGATTCGGCGTGTTTGTTCGGAAAAAGCTCACTTTGCCGAAAATATTTTTCGGATGCATTTTCTTGTAGAAGAGCGCTAGCGCTTGATTTATTCAAAGAGGTTTCTTATCTCGGCATCGTTTGGCAGGCGTCTTTGGCGACATAGCATCGTCAGCTACCATTGATTGCTCCTCTCCACTGCCTGTCTACTCTCTTTCGCCTGGAGTGTCCTCACCGTCATCTGTGTGGCTGAAAAGACTATGGCGACACGCATAACATTTGACTTGGGCATGGAGTTGGTTTTTCTGAGGCGACTGAGGGGGCAGGTTTGGCCCTCGAGTCTTTGGGCGATCAAAGTTCGTTGGAATCAGCAAGAAAAGGAGCACGGGACGGGACGTTGCTGATGCTGGGGCTCACGAAATGAAAACACATCATTTTCGACTTGCAAAACAAACGTTGGTGCGAAAATTCGACATTTTGATGTTCGACAAATGACCGAAGAACGCTGTACCGAAATTCGGAATGCAAAACCTCTCTAATGGTACACATGCACACACTTGACACAGTCTTGTCTTTGAACCATGATTGTATTCTTCCTTTCGTCTCAAGTGTAGACTTTTTATTTGTTTGTTGGGTGAAACTGGTGCGGAGAGATGGTTGCTTCCACACAACGTATTCAGTGTGTTCTCGTTCCGACGTGACAACAGTTACTATACCAGCAATGAACCGAGCAAGACCGTCGCAAGCTAGAATGGGGAGCAGTACTCGCCTGTCGAGCAGTCGAAAGGGCGAGGACACCAGCGATGCGGACGGCCTAGAAAGTCGAGGTGTGTCGCCGCTTGATCCCAGAGTCAAACTTGCCGCTGCATGGCACGAAGGTCGACCGGAGGGCCCGCCAATATTCCGCATGCATGGTACTTCTTCACGTACCGACGGAAGACAGCGGCTGGACCATAGAGGAGTGCGCGGTAGTTCCGCCTCAAACGGCAATCGGCTTTTGTCGGCAGCTCTGCAGCGAAATGAAGAGAGTTTCGCTAGCCGCTACGGACCCAAGACGGTTATCCTAGTCGACAGTGATGATCATCTGAGCAGTATGTTAGATGAATCCTACGTGAGACTCAACATGAAATGTCAGAAGAAACACGAGTACAGCATAGCCATCGGGGCATATCCGTCAAGTGAGTTTAAAAACCAACCAATATGCTGTTTTATGAACATGAGGCCGCGTTCGAATTGTCTTCATCAACTGTTCAAACAAATTTTAAAAAGAGATTAGTTGAAGTGTCCCATTAGAACGGTTTCTATCATTTTAGAGTTTTTCAGTGGAATTGTCATGGCGATGATGACGTCCGATCAGATCGACCATCTCCACGTACTACGTGACTTAACTATTCCAAACTCTTCGGAACTAATCCACCTCTCCCATCGGATGAGTTTGTGGAGTTTCGAGGAGCTTCGTTTTTCTGAAGAGGCCAATAAGGCCATCTCTTCAGAAAAACGAAACTCCTCGAAAAGTCAAAAAGTGTCAATTCACACGCCCCCTTAGAGAAAGTTAGCCTTAGGCCACACGTACACTTAGTCGAATGGTCTTGGTCCGAGGAAGCTGAGACGATCCCTTCCTCCTTTATTCCCAATCAAACTTGCCACTTCCACCGAAATTGGGTGACTATGCCCTACTAGATGAGGATTTGTATGCACAATGTCACTAAATGATTTCGTTCTTATAAAAGCACGGATGAACGCGTTTGGCCCATATGTAGTCTTTCGGGCGCGAAGTCGACTGGCTTTGGTCAGAGAAGGCTGCAATGCAGCGTTCTGCCCTTATTGCCAACCGAACACCTTTGAGTAAGCGGTAAAGTGCTCATGCGGACAACAGTCACCTGGCCACAGTGCCTGCAGTGTTCAACTTACAGCCTATTTGTGTGCGTTCCTGTCACTCGAGTTGAACCTTTGAACCTTTCAGTTAAACCTTGGTGTGAACGTTGCAGCCTGCAGGCACGGTGACCAGATGACTGGGGTACGCATGTTTTGAAAAGTACCCACATCCGGTTCACGTATGGATGGGTGTAATGCACATGTATTTGTATACATGCCAGTACAACATACAGTCAACTTTGCGTATAACGACACTCGGCCGGGCATCAGAAAAGTGTCGTTATTCGCGAAGTGTCGTTATACCCGAAGTCTCATTATATGTATACAGGTAGAATGGACTTTGCTCTGGGCATGAAAATTCTGTCGTTATTCGCGAATTGCCGTTATATACGCAGTTGTTATTAGCGAAGTTGACTGTACATGGTTGGGACTGATAGCAAGCCGTGAATCGACAATGTAAACAGGAAGCTGTGTTAAAGTCTCGTCATGAGCACTTGTTAGCATTAACCTTTTCACTGCTGGCCTAGTTTTCCCCTGGCGGCTTGCCTTTCAGCTCATTTACTTTCCTCTCAATCTCTACATACACATCACTGAGAAAAATCTTTTGCCAATTCATATGTTATGGTCGCTGATGATGCCCTTCTGGATGAAAATTTGGAAACCATTGCTGGACGTGGTGTAGCCAAGGACTGTTTGTGTGTTGCGGATTGGAGTTTAAGTGAAAGATGACTAGGCTGCATTGGAGCTTCAAAATTCTGAAATGTCATACCTTAATCGTTGAAGATGAAGTGAAAGGTCAAGTTGAAATGCCTGCTGCTTGTGTGTGTACGTGACGTCATGGAAACCGCTTTGCCACGGGTCAGGGCCACCCTGCCCGTGAGCTCATATTTATATTCGTTTGAGTTTCAGGAAGAAGTCAGTTGTTTGTCCCAGGATTCCTTGCGTTGTTTGAGAGTGTGAGTCGGACATGCAGAGCTAGAGGCGAACATAACAGCCTGCTGCTTGTATATTTGTGTCCTTGCAGAGTATTTGGCATGGGGAGAAGCTAGGAGATTTGTGCCATTCACTGGCTTCATGAAAGCGACAGAGGACAGTCAACGTAAGTATCCCTGCATCTTTATTTTGTCCAGGTGTGTTTAATTTTTATGCATGGTTTTATCCTGATGATGGACGAGGCCCTGAAAATTTAGTTGAATATCAAATTGAGCAGCGGTAAAGAGACCGTTGTTGTCGTTTGAGAAGCGAAGTTTTATACAAGTCAAGGTGAGTGGCTACGTTGCAGTTTAAAGACAATTCGAGAAGACTTTGTTAGTTTGGAAATGGCACGCTCTTGCACTATACAAGCATATACTCGTGTGTATATGTGCACACGTAGTTATGATCATGTCTGCACACGTGCATACAGTTATGTGCGTACACACATGCATTTTCTCAAGTCTGTCCTCACACCTACATCATTTATATATTTCTATTTATTCTTCTTTTACTAGAGAATTCCCACCAGGCGTCAGCGCCTTTGCATTCACATCTATTCATATATATTATATCATTGTAGAAGTGCATATAGCGAGATTGCATGAGAGCTAAGAACCCGGAACGGCGTGCATTTCGAGCAATTGTTTTGAAGTTCTGCTCCATGCACCGTGATGCATGTCTTCACATGTATGCATTTGCCACTGTATTTGCTGGTGTTCCTCTGGTCATAGTATATGGTATGGGTAGCTTTTCGCTGCACACATGTGCATATTCTACGTGATGTGTGTTGATGCATGACTGCGCATCGAGGCCTTTTTCATGTGTGTGTGTGTGTGTGTGTGTGTGTGTGTGTGTGTGCGTGTGTGTGCGTGCGCGTGCGCGCATGCGTGTGTGTGTGTTGGCATTCGTCCAGTCCTCGCACATGGTATGGGCAGTTTTACACTGGGAACGGGTGATCACTACTGCGGCCAGTTCACCAAGGGAGAGCTGACTGGCTATGGGAAACGCTTCTACGCACGTACGGGTAGCCAGTACGTTGGTGAATTTCTCGAGGGAGAACCTCACGGCAGAGGAGTGATGTCGTACAGTGATCATCCGACATTGATAACTTTTTCGGGAGAATGGAGACTCGGTTTTTATCATGGTGAGATGTCCATGTTATTTAGTCACAATTGTTAGGTACCTCCTCCCGTACAGTCTACATTTTTCCCTAGCTTGTCTGCATGAACCATATGAACCCCGTACTAACCTTTTGTTTCGTTGGCCTGGGTAGCTACTTGCGGGCCCATATTGCCATAGCTACCAAGTCCCTTCATAGTTTCTTGTTGTCTCAGTCTCTCGCGCTCTGATAATGTAGTTGTTGTAACGTTAGTTTGTCTTTGTCTTCGTCTCATCGTCAATAATAAATGTTTCCCCCTACTCGTTCCCGTTGTCCGTTGCGTTGTGTCTGGGATGATGGAGTCTCCAGTTGAAACTCAACACCATGGTAAAGACAATGGTTGTCTGTGTGAAGGGGGGGGGGGGGGTATGTGTGGTCGAGAATATGTATGAGTGTGTGTGTGCGTGCGCGCGTGGAAATCGTCTGCACATACCAATGCACTATATGGGACACCCCCCCCCCTCCCCTCCTCCTCACAATTGAGAGGTTGCGGATTCCATTCCCAATGATTACGGTCTCACACGTCTTTCTTCTCAGTCTCCTAGCTCTTCTTTCATTCTCCTGGATGGCTATCAACAGCCAGTGTACGCCGGAGTAGGATCCCAGTGTTCTGCGAATTCCCCCTTCCCAATTCGGCAGCTTTCTCATTTTATTAGAACGATACCCAGCAGAACATAGCTATCTGTTTCCAGCAGTACTTTGAGATAGAATGGGGTATTCCCTTTTCTCTCTTGTTATTGTGATCACTGTTTGTGCAGGACATGGAGAAGTGCTGTATAAGGATGGAAGTGTCTTCATGGGTAACTTCAAACAGCATCGTATCCATGGTGACGGTCACTTCAAAGGCGTGTAAGATAATACTTGTAGGTTGTTGTGTGTATCAGCTAAGACACTGTAGTATCTTGTCGTGCGTGCGTGTGTGTGTGGGGGGGAGGAAGGAGGGGGTGTTCACGTACGTGTATGTGTGTGTGTGTGTGTGTGTTTGTGTAGGGGTTTGGGGCTGGGCATGTGGCGTGTGTGTGTATGTGTGATGTGCATGTGATTGCGTGTACAGTACTTCTCAGTGAAATCTGATCGAGTCACTCAAGTACTCTGGACATGTGTTCATGTGTCAGGGTGGGGTGGGGGGGGGGGGGGGGGAGCATCGTGGGAGCACCAAAGGGAGTGTGTCTGTATTTGTGTTTAGCTGTGGGTGTGGGCGTGCGAGTATGTGAGTGCGGAGCGTGTGCACGCGGGTTGGACTTGGGGGCCTATTGGTGTGCGTGTGGGAGCGCATGCCTGAAACCCTAAATGTTGTATGTTGGCATGAAGGTACGGGTGCACTCATTATACCCTAGAATGTTGAGACATTGAATGTCCCATATTTCCGCACTTACAATGGGCCGCGAACGAGGTAGGAAATATTATTAGAGGAGAGACCACAAGCGTTGAGATAGAGAGACGAATGACCTAGCACTTCTTCATCATCTTGTGGAGAGTCCAGAAGGCAGAGTACCTCTTCGAAAATACTGATGATTCTTAGTTCTGAAATTGTTGCTGGAGTGTAGGCTACACGTTGGGCACTGGTGTTGACGTCCATGACTGTCCTCTCATCTGTGTGTTATGTTGCTAGAGATGGAGTGGAGTATCGAGGACGGTATGCCGATGGCAAGTGCAATGGCTGGGGAAAGTGCACCTACCCCGATGGCAGAGTATATGAGGTGAGAATATCCACTTACCGTATTTTCCGGAGTATAAGCCGCACTTCCCTCCCCCATTCTTTGCCATGAAATACAGACATCTATCCTATTTATGACCATTATTTTGACCATCGATCGGAGTATAAGCCACCGCCTCTTTTTTGGGTGAATTTTGAGTGTTCAAAATGTGACTTATACCTAGGAAGTATAGTGCATATTACACATAGGTCAACTTACATAATCAGGCTACCGTATTTTACCGGTTGTAAGTCGACCCTGGTTATAGGTCGACCGCCGTATCTGGAGGTCTCAATTCTGCATTTGGAAGTGTTCACCAAAAGAAGCACTCCTAACCACTCCCTGCTACTAACACATCAACAAATCATGTAAACATTCCTCATTGGAGGGTATAATGTCCCAATCCTTGAAAAAAGGCCACTAAACAGGCAAAAATGTGTAGACATGGTGCACTCGTGCTGCAGTGCAGGTCATTTTTTGTAAGATACTGATAGTTCCCTTTATAAGTCGAATCTCGGTTGTAAGTCGACCCCCACCCTTTCTACTTCCATTTTTAGTCACAAAAGGTCGACTTACAACCGGAAAATAGGCTAGTTGTTTTGATATGTTTAGGTCGCATCAATTGAGGTCCTCTCTCTGCCACGTCTGTGTGCCGACTAAATAGTAGACCAATGCCAGTATGACATAGTGGTATTGGACCATTGAGTACTATGGGTGGGGGAAAGTAGCTTTGTCGCAATTGTTTTGGGCTTTTTGGCTTCTGTTGCTGCCGGCAACACTGCATCTGCTGATGCTCATGTTGCTGTTGCTGCTATTGCCTATGTTGATGCTCATGTTGCCTCTACCACTGCAACTGCTGAACTTGATCATTTGCTGCTGCTGCTACTACTGCTGAAAGTGTTTTTGCTGCTGCTACTTCTGCTGCCATGGCTGCTATCTTGTGTCTCAGGAGTGATCACATTCCTTTGTACTGGGAAAAGTCAGTATTATGTGAGTCTAGTGTGAGCGGTGAAGGCTTTCTCCAACTTGGTTGTGACTGCGGCACAAATTGTGTGTTTGAATGCAGGGTGTGTGGAAAGATGGTGTTCGGCATGGCCCTGGTCTCATAACCAGTCCAAGTGGAGTGCGCTACAACGGACCGTGGGAAAACGACAGGCCAGCAGGTATACAGTATATCTCAGTAGCTGTTTGTTTTTGTCCACATAATTATTTATTTTAAGAGTCGTGGGTTTGTGAATAATAGTAAAAAATAAAAAATAGAGTAAATAAAAATATGCTGTCATCATTCCGGGAAACTAGTGATAGTCATCTCTGTTTGTTATGCTTTATAGCCAGTTTGCTAGGTACTTTTCTAGTGTAGCAGTTGCCTATTTTCTACAGTAATATTATTTCAGACAAAGGCACACAATGCAACCTTGGCAAATTCTGATTGGTTCGGCCATGAAACTCTGAGTCACAACGGAATTTACCGAGGTATTTATTCCCGTAGCTATGCAGAAGACGTTACTTCAGTAACGTCTGGCGCTAGTCAGGGTCCACACAGCTTTAATTTGGTATTTGTGTGTTTGTTTGTTTGTTTGTTTGTTTGTTTGTTTGTGTCACGCCTGGCGCTATCCCGTATCTGACGGCAAAAAAAGCATAGGGCTGTTATACATTTTTCAATTCTCCTATCTTTTTAAGGCATATCCTGGGATTCAAACCCGCACTATCGCCCTACATGCAATCCCCCATACACTTCGCATTCATACCCATTCTTCCAAGTTGCTTCACGTTATGATCTTGCGTTTGAAAGCCCTATTTGAATATTGCGGGCAGCTGTATGTGGCCAGCTGTGTTTGATGGTACGGTACGGTACGGGAGACGGTGTCGTATTACCCTCGATCGTACCTGTCCCGTACCTATCCCCTACCGTACCGTACCATCAAAGCCGGCTGGCCACAATGCACAGGGGACACGATAACGGTCGGACATCGGACATTTTCCGACCATTTTCGATTCGAATCCGGCGCTTTTTTTCTTGAACGGACAATCTGTCCGATCGAAATTCACAAAAATTAATAGCGTCGCTGGGAAAGAGAACGGCTGAGGACAATGGCGCTCTGCCTGGGAAGAAGTCTCATGAAGTGGGAGCAGCAACCTGTGACAAGAGGGTTTCACAGCAAGACAAGGAGCTGTCTACTTCAGTGTAGCTCCAGTTTGAGCGTAGCAAATGATCGAGGAGTTTTGAAATGAGATTTCTTCGCTTTCTTGCTACAATAGGAACTATTACGCGAGGCGCTTGTACAATCCGAAATATTGAAAACGTCCCTGTTCCAGGGAAACAAGGCGCCAGAAATGTGTGCCAGCTTGCGATATGCCTCTATCGAAAGGAGCAGTCTTCTGCAAATCCAGTCAATTACGCTCCTGTTGCACAGGCGCTGTGCAAGATCGACGGAGCAGCAGCAGCGAAGGTTAGTCAGAAATTCAACGTCTCGTAGAAACTACATGCTGTTCAAAGAGCACATCGCGTTTGCAAAGATGGGAGCCTTCAGCCAACTCGAGTAGTGACATGTTGTCGATCTTGGAGCTGGCAACAAGAAGTTAGAATGGGCAAGCAGGTGCCCACTTTGTCTTTTGTCGATTGCGTAAAAATGAATGCCTTTGATCTGCCGCTGAAAAACCAGCTCAAATCCGAAATGTGCAGAAACACTGCACGCTCATATCACAGTTGCTATGTTTGCTGAAAAACGCACAGCGATTTGAATCAGTGTTACACTACTTGAGATCTGTGTGATGATCATCCTTGATGTGACCAGCAATACCGCAGTGTGATGTAGCATGCACATGCATGTGTGCATTATGCAGTGGTGTCGTGTGTGAAATTGGTGAAGACAATAATAATTAACGCAATAAATAGAGTAAGCTGCGCACTCAGTACAAACACCATTAGCAAAACTTGTTTTCATGTAAATAACTAAGCTTGTTCCTAAACGTTACAATAATAATTATTTTTTATTATGAGTACCAGACTTGTAAAAAAATCACAGTGTCCGGCCATGTCCGACCGCTTCCAGAAGTGGCAGGACATTGTGTCAGAGCAATTTCGAAATCTTATTGTGTCCCCTGAATGCATATTCAAATAGGGCTTTCAAATGCAAGATCATAATGTGAAGCAACTTGGAAGAATTAGTATGTATGCGAAGTGTATCGGGGGATGCATGCAGGGCGCGCGATAGTGCGGGTTCGAATCCCAGGTTATGTCTTAAAAAAAAGGAATGTTTTAAAGAATTTATAACATCCCTACGATTTTTGTCTAGTTCATCAAGGCAAAAAAGCATAGCGTACGGCCCTGAGCTTCCAAGCTCTCTCGTTTTGTACCTTTGCGAACGCCGCTCTGCCTGAATCAGGTATTGAGCACTTTCTCACTACCTAAGCCTACTGCCTCTGTATTCATATTATTTTAGTGTGGGCTCAATGACACACTCCATTTCCAGCCCAAACTTTCAGAAGGCTAACTTCTTGCCGAAGCTCTATGGAAGTTCGTATAGTTTCAGCTCTACAGACCAGCGTGTTATTACGGTAATATCTGTCAAGGCCACCACTCGGATAAAATGACCACCTGTCCTAGAAGACCACTGAAACCAGGATCAAGGAATGCCATTTTCAGTCAATTGACCCTGGATAAGGAGACCACCTGGTAATAGGGACCACATTTTGAAGGTCCCTCGAGCGGTCATCTCAGACAGGTATCACTGTATTATGATTCTTTATTCCACTCCAAGCTGAAAATAAAATAAATAAAAATTGGAGGTATTACACTAACTCACCAGACTTATAGCAAAAGGTAATTATTATTACTTGGTCCGCGTCAGCAATATTGTCGCTTATCTTTCGACAATTTGAACTTAGACTTTGGACATCAACGCGTGCACTTGAAGTGATAAAACTTGGTACGATGGAAGGTAAAGTATAGAATGACAACTAGCTATGAGGAATTTGTTGTCCAAGGAAGGGTTCATAATTGTTTCGGTCCTCCTCATCGCTGCTCTCGGCGCTGGTGACAAATATTTTTGCTCGGGATCGACTCTCTTGATTTTGCAAGTTCATCTCTCTTCCTCTCCGATGCCTGGCTATGTTCTAAAGAGAAGTCGATCGCAGTGGCGGATCCAGGGGGGGGCCCAGGGGGCCTGGGCCCCCCCTTTGAAAATTTCGACCTTGGTCTAGGATTACAGTAGACTGTAGAATGAGCGCTCGAAATTACTTGGCGTGTCAAGTGGGTCACGCGTGCTGGGTACTTTTATACGTGTCCGATCACTCCGGTACATGGTGTCACGCACCGAGCATGAGTCTGTACTAGTCAGCGCGCTGTGTACCGGTGTACAACTACTGTACGCACTGCGACCTGAGGACACGGCCGCACTTCAAACATGTGAAAAACGTGCCAAAAATGCAGGGCCTGGTACATAGTGCAGCGATCGCGTTGGGCTGAAGTCCTGTTTGGTGCACGGTGCTGTCGACTTCGTCCTTCCTTTTTTCTTTTTCAATTGTCAGAAACTACAAGTATACGCTCTCTAGCTCTCTACTTCGCTTGTAGCCAACGGGTTACCTTCAGATATGAGATGAAGAGGAAAGGGTCTGACATCAGGTCGTTCTTCAGTGGACCGGTAGATAAGAGAGCTCGCGTTGGAGAGCCGTCCAAAGGTCCGTCGCGGCCGCTGTCGAGTGGAAATGTTCCAGTGCAGTTTGAAAATGTCGTGAGAATGGAATAAAACTAGAAACCGGCGGATTCTGCTCGAAAAGGTGGCATATTCTGCTCGAAAAGCAGTGAAATTGGCAGAATCATACAAACCTTATGGCGGGCAATTCCTCGAATTCTGCTCCATACTATAGTATTTTTATCCACATACCAAACATCCATAAAACTTACCAGAAAAAGTACCGAATTCTGTCAATTTTTCTGCCGGCAGAATCCGCCGGACCCTAAAAACAACTGCTCTTCACAGCTTCAGGACTTTGTTGTTGTTGTATTTGTTGTTTTGTTTTGGGGGGGGGGGGGGGGGGCGGATACCTTGGGCCCCCTCTTCGGCCAAGTCCTGGATCCGCCACTGGATCGTGACGGTTGCCTTCTCTATAGGACTTCGCGTGGGCAGCACGACAGCCTGTGTGGTTCTAATCAGACGCCATTCTTTGCAAGATTTTATTTTGAACGACAACGACAACGCGTACAGTACTTGCAAATCTCCTTGCCGCGCTGGATACTCCGGGCATTGAGCTGGAGGTAAGGGATCTGTGATCTCAGCTTGACGAGCGACCCCTGAGGTGAGCGATCTCGGCCATTCAGCAAAATGGAGCTGATTCCGAGTAGCCGATTACTTTCTTGTGGCTTGCGCTGCTGTTGCCTGCACAGCGTAACAAGATCATTTATTTTGAAGCGGCGCTGTATCAATCAAAATCACCCACCCGTCTCTCTCGAAATCCACTCGAAATCTAGCTAGACCTTTCAGGTACTGGTGAACTAACTTACTAACCAAAATTGCGATGAAATGGGCTGCCAAGTGATCATTGGCGACCCATAAACAAAGCTGAAAGATAAGCGACTATATCGCTAACGCGGACCAAGTATTATTATTATTATCATCATTATCGCAGGGTTCTAGCCAAAGGGGGTGTATGACGGAGCAGCAACCCCTACTCCGATGGCACCCCTTACTTTGGTCTCGCCCTAGAGGCACAGTTACCTGCCCTGCTGCAAAGTATAATTATTATTGAATGATTTTGAATTGACTTCACTGCAATTGTTTCGGCCCTTCACTGTGAGCTCTGCGGATGAGACCTAAAGCAGTTAGCATTCCGGAGATTTAGTATATGTATATGTACAAAGCATGGCAATTCAGTCTATTTCCGTGTTGACTGTATTCTCTTGCAGGCTATCCTTTATCGCTTTGCTGGGCTGGAAGCGGTGATGGTTTGACATTACCACTGGGCTGTGCAGTCAGTATAGCCGTGGCTATCAAGAACAGCAGACAACAGACCATGCATGGAGGTAAGTAGCGGTGGTGGGGACGACTAGTATGGTGTTTTTGTAGGTGTGACTGTGCTGTGCAAACACGAACAATACGGTAAAATGAATGTGTGTGTGTGTGTATGTGTGTGTATGTGTGCTTGTGCGCATGCTATGTATGCATGCATGCGCCTACATGTTACTGTATAAGTACAACGTTTCGTTTTGGAAATAGCTTTCGCTATATCCGTTAGGGGGTACGAAATAACATGAGTTTTTTTTACGAAACTAAGTTTTTTTTCTGAACGTTTGGGGTGACAGACCTCGACCAAAGATGAAATTTAGTACGTAACACGCTTGCTGGTGGAGTGATGTAACGAAAGATTTCGTCAACGAAAATTTGTATTATACTTGGTCCGACTTATTAAAATGTGCGCTTCGCTTCATAACTCAAGCCTATGTCCAAAGGAGCACCTGTACTAAAAAATCGACCAAGAGAGGATAGATAGATAACTACTGTGTCGTTTCTTGGCCTGACCTTCTAGTTTCCATCTCTGCTGGTGTCTCAGGGCGCTTCTTCAAGTGCGTCAACCTGGAAAACGTCGACATTTTTTTCATCTCCTCCAAGCTACACCGCGCTTTCTTGATTTTTTCACTCCATAGGCACGATTTAGACGATCGACTTCGCCTCCTCCTCGTGCAGTACGACTGCCAGAATGGTGGCTGTAGGTGTTTTCGCCTGACGCTCCCACGAGACTTTCAAATGAGGCGAACAAGTAAACCACCACGCATAAAAAAAGCACTTCTCATCACCGTGTGCCGCGCGCGTAGAACTAGTACTGAGTCTGATCTGTGTCGACATGACTGTCACACAGTCAGTCAGCTGCATCAGACCATGCGTGCTCTTCCCTGGCTGTTTCACGAATCCACTGGCCCCGGAGACTGGCGATGTTGTGACGCATCGATCGCGATCGCGGCTCCGAGGAGTCGGCGAGGACTCCGCACCATTCACGCACCGTATTCACCCTTTCTGCGCTTCAGTTTTCCAGCCAGGTTGTCGCCTGAAAGTCGACCTCAAGGGCGGTTGTTTATATCGATCAACTTCTCGACGATCTCTTCTGTGATCTTGATTCGTCGGCCGCCACATCGTGAACGAATGCGAGAGAGATCAGCACAAACTGTACGGAGCGATGCAGGTGCTTTCTGCACGAGTTTCTGGATGACGCGTTTGCTGAACTTATTTGATTCTTCCAAGGAAACAGCGACTGCAGCGATTTCAATCCGCCAGGAAGCACTCGAGAACGATCGCCCAGGAGTTTCTGGTACTCCGTGACAATTCCCCATCGCAGTGGGGTGTTGATTTCAGCACCAGGCCTTCTCTGTGTTGCGCAAGAAGCAACATGAGTCCTCTGACGACAAAATTTCCACGCAAAATTCTCGAGTCGACTAGGATCCTGAGGCGCTGCCCCCTTTGGGGTTGGAGCCATTTCTTCTTCAACATCACAAATCGACAACTGAAGGATAGTGTTAGGTAGCTGGAAAGTTTGTTCCGTCCTGACATTATTTGAATTTGTTTGTCTGACGTTCGAAGCGAAACGCACATTTTAATAAGTCGGACCAAGTACAGTAGTTTGTGTCACCCGTCCCGTCCCCCCCCCCCCCCCCCTCCTCCCAGTGAAAAACAACGTCCCAACCTCATTGTGTTCTTTTATTGACTGCAGGATTATCACTGGATGATCACTGGATGTTATAGGGTTCTAGAATGTCGATGAACATCTGAAAGAGCTTGCCTTTTGCATGATGGCATGCTGGACAAAGCTTCTACACACCATGTGAAGTTTGTACTGCAGTCAACTTCGCGTATAACGACACTCGGCGGGGCATCAGAAAAGTGTCCTTATTCGCGAAGTGTCGTTATACCCGAAGTCTCATGATGTGTCACAGTTGGATGGGACTTTGCTCTGGGCATGACAAATATGTCGTTATTCGCGAATTGTCGTTATATCCGCAGTCGTTATTAGCGAAGTTGACTGTATATAGCCCACATACTTGAGGAGCATGTTTGTATTTATTCAATGTTGCAGAGAGCGGCCGTCAGATAACAATCAAAGCGTTTCGCCGCCTGAACAAGAAGAAATCTTTTCAAGAAATGGAGCAGCAAGATGAGATAGAGAAGCTGATATACACCAAACTGTGAGTATTGCCAATGTTTGCTTTGGAGGCTGAACAGATTTGATTTCTGATGTAGTTTGTTGATGGTCAGTTCCACCACCACTAAACCGGACCTTGGTACTCTGTAAACATTGAACCTGAAGAAGGAGATCCACAGGGAAGTTGCTTTAGGATAAATGAACGAAGGATCATCTTGGTCACCATCGGCTATGGAAGCACAGGAAGTTGGAACTGATGAATCGTCAGATGAATACATTATCATTGCCAACTTGCAGGACTGATAAAAAAAATGCAGTGTGTTGCTGGATAATGGTGTGTTCTCTGTAAACGAGCCCACTGGACCAGGTCCGGCTGGTCAGGTTATCACCAGACCAGGTCCGGCTGGTCAGGTTATCACCAGAACAGGTCCGGCTGGTCAGGTTATCACCAGACCAGGTCTGGCTGGTCAGGTTATCACCAGAACAGGTCCGGCTGGTCAGGTTATCACCAGACCAGGTCTGGCTGGTCAGGTTATCACCAGAACAGGTCCGGCTGGTCAGGTTATCACCAGACCATGTCCGGCTGGTCAGGTTATCACCAGACCAGGTTTGGCTGGTCAGGTTATCACCAGACCAGGTCCGGCTGGTCAGGTTATCACCAGACCAGGTCTGGCTGGTCAGGTTATCACCAGACCAGGTCTGGCTGGTCAGGCTATCACCAGACCAGGTCCGGCTGGTCAGGCTATCACCAGACCAAGTTGTTGGTCACCGATGTATGTTTACTGCAGCGGAGGGCGTGCGTGCCAGTTCTAGGTCCCAATGTGCGTCCCAGTTCTAGGTCCCAATGTGCGTCCCAGTTTTAGGTCCCAATGTGCGTCCCAGTTTTAGTTCCCAATCTGCGTCCCAGTTCTAGGTCCCAATCTGCGTCCCAGTTCTAGGTCCCAATGTGCGTCCCAGTTCTAGGTCCCAATGTGCGTCCCAGTTTTAGGTCCCAATGTGCGTCCCAGTTTTAGGTCCCAATGTGCGTCCCAGTTTTAGGTCCCAATGTGCGTCCCAGTTCTAGGTCCCAATGTGCGTCCCAGTTCTAGGTCCCAATGTGCATCCCAGGTTCATCATACACAAAGTATGACAGACTATGGTATGTCCGGACCTCAGCGTTCATGGGCTGCTCAGTATGCGATTGATTATCTGGAAGTATCTAAGAAGCTCCCCTCATACACTTCACTCTAGTGTCTCTTCCTTTTAATCTGTTCTCCTTGCCAGGTGAGGCCTACTGCGATAGCTGCATAAATGTTGCTACAGGAATATGTAGATGAAACAAACAGATATGATGCACAGAGCTAGAGGTAATCCTCCTAGGATTTCGAAATTTGACATGGGGAAATAGTCAGTCCTGTGGCCAACTTGGGGCTGCACCACCCCTTAGGAGCTGGCTCCGGGCCTGGACCTGTGGACAACTGCTCCGGTGGTCCTGCATTGAAGCTGAACCACATTCGATGTACCGAGCTGTGAAGCACAGCTCAGTAGTTCACATGGTCAATGATGGCTCCAGACTCTATTCCTGACAAAACTACCAAGGAAAGAAAGTTAAAAATTCAAATATCAATAAGCGTTCTGGAATGTTCCTTCATGAGACTCTGCCATCCATTGAACTCTCACTTCATTTGAAACAATCTCATCCTCGTTGCATTACTGCTTTTCTGTTCTTGTTTATGCAGTGGTTTCAATGTCACACGAGCTTGTATCTGCAGATACACACCGCCTGCCAAGCAAGAAAATGTCATCTCGGAGAAGGAGGTAATCACTCTCCCTGATCCGTTCGCCGAATCGCCTAAACCGCCGACGCCGTCAAGTGAACAAGAAGGCAACACTCCGTCAGATCCCCTGCGCCCATCCAAAGATGACAAGCCATCAACGCCCAACACTGGCGATTCTCCATCTCCACGCGCCGACTCCGTTAACCGATCAGGGTCTGAGAAGAGCCTAGGGACCAAGCGAGTACGAGTGCGTCGTAACTACGCAGGTGCTCATGAGAAACTGGCCGACGTTCTTGCCAATCTGGAAGCTTCCATGGAGCATGTGTTTGCTCTGAATCCGGGAGTGCGCAAGATTGACGTTGTAAGTATATTAGGGGTGAAAGTTGGCACTGAGATCCCGAGTTCGAGTACTCTGATTTTCTCCGATCGAATATTCGAGTATTCGAGTATTTTTCATCTCCTAAAAATTGCACACCAAGGGCATTAAAATAACATGATACAACCCTGATTGAACTGAGTAGCAGTCATTTTTCTCGGGTGTATTGGTTGGTGGGTCATTTGGGCTCTCTCTACTCGTGAACAAATGTTCACCACACAGCCTGCACATCACCATCTGCCTACTGCTGCCCTGAAACTGCAGATTTCTGTAGTAAATGCATGTACCATGTATGAACGAGTACTCTGATTTATTCCGAGTACGATTATTTTTGAAAAACCGAGCGAGTACTTGAGTACTCGGTATAATTGTTTCACCCCTAAAGTATATACATGTGCTGTGGAGACAAACTTGTTAGAAGCTGAGTGGGTCAGTAGGAAAGAGCAAGAAAATCTGCTCACAAGAACAGCGGTCAAGAAAAGAGGCTGAGTTTACATTTGGTTCCTTTACTAGTCATGTAGCAACTAATAGAAACAAAGCGAAATAGTGTAAAGGACAGGCGGTAAAGGATAGAACGTCAGTACCGTTGGTCAATGTAGTGCAATGTTATTGTATGACCTGGTTGTCGAGTAACTGGTGGTGTTAGTGGACATTATAGCGTATCTTCTAGTTCTTCGGTCCTTTTTCTTTCCTTTAAATTAGTCCTTGGCTCTCCATCCGTGTGTGTTTGCGAATGGCATATGTGTGTGTGTGTGCGTGTGTGTGCGTGTGTGTGCGTGTTTGTGCGTGTTTCCGTGTGTGTTTGCATGTGTGTGTGTGTGTGTGTGTGTTTGTGCGTGTGTGCGTGTGTGTGTGCGTATGCGTGTGAGTTTGCGCACACGTTGGCTACAGAGATTTGAGTACGTGAAGAGGGAGAGCAATCGTCTCATTGACCTGAAACCGCTGCACGGTGGACGGATGCGGAACGGTTACTTTGTCTTTCCAAACGTTTTCATTCAACCGCATGATACGATAAATGAAGACTTTGGTGATAATTACATCGAACAGTTGTTGGAGGAGCAGGTAAGAGTCAGGTAGAGAAGTGGTGGGGTGTACAGTAGAACCTGATTTAAGTGACCACCCCACGGTGCAAAAAGAAGCGGTCGTTAAAGCATAACCCGGTCTTTAGAACCAGGTTCCACATTTTCTGTGTAGAACTGTCGGGCATGGAAAACGGGTGTTAGGTGGTCGCTAAACCCAGAGATCGCTTACACCAGGTTTTACTGTAGTTGAAAGAGACCAGTTTGCCTTTCTGAATAAACTCTTAGAGCAGATGAATGCAGTATTCCGCTGAAAGCACCAGCTCTATAACCCTGTGTCTTGTTCTGTTATGCTACAGGTTCACGACGTGTGTTTAAGCAGTTGACCTGATAGAACTGATCAAACCCAGTGGCTTTATTTACTTGTTTTTGCACTGCCGGTGTTTCCACAGGAGAGGGAGGAGCGCATGACATCGGCCTTTACATCATCTGACATCGCTCCACTAGTCATGCACAGTGATGAACCCAACACAGCTACCAAGGTACTGAAATTCAGCTAGCTACTATGACTGTTTATTCCTACTTCGTTTATCCGAACAATTCTCAAAGGATGCCAGTGGAAACCTGAGGCCGAGGGCGCAGGCCAAGGCGCGTAGCGCCGAGGCCTGCGCCCGCGGCCGTACTACAGTTTCCAACTCTTCTTGTTCTTGTTTCCAACTCAAGTTCTTGTTGTCGTGAGTGGAGATGAACAGATCAAAAGCCAGTAGGTCTACTTCCTCCGTTAACAAAAACTTCGTGATGGATTTTGATGGATATGAAAACCCTTAGAACAGGTCAAGAACAGTTTGTATCGACTGCAAATCACTGGATGAAGGTGATTCAGCCTATGTACAGAGTCTTTACAAGAGAACTGTTGGCGGAATGAGCAGAGAGTTCAGTTTGCGTCACTTTTGCTCGACTCACTTTTGACCTGCGTCGCTGTCGTCATCTGCTGCAAGCCAGTCGTCATCTCTCTCGAGTCGTTGTTCAGCTCGTTTCAGCCTTGCCTCGGCTTCTTTGATCACACTCCGCTGACCTTGATGTCGCCGTCGTTCAAGTAAGTTGGCTTTCAAGCTGCGTGATCCACCGCGATGGCGATTACTCGTTTCCACCAGGGAATCGTGAAAAATATTTTACGACTCCCTGGTTTCATCTTCGCTCTCCAGAACTCCGCGAAACGAGGAGTAAAGGCACAGCCAAACTGATTCCATTTTCAATAATGGATACCCCTGCCAGCACTGAACGGCAGCGACTAGCAAGTCCTCAGGTATAATAAGGTGATCATGTGTGTACAAAACTTGTATTGGTAATAACTTTGGCATACATTAATATTTTTCAACCAAATTTCCTGTGGTGATACATTGGGTTAGTTGTCATCGATTTCCAATATCAAATTTAAATTATGAGCTGAATGACGTCATCAGTGCTACTTTTTATGTTCAGATTTCAACCCGAAACGCGGAGAAAACGAAAAATAGTAAGGCCACAAATCCTGGTGAACTGGATAGCCTTTGGGCCCTAGATAAAGGATATTGGTGGATATTGTACATAGATAACAACATTTCGCTGGAAACCAGTATCGACTTGTTTCACCATACGCACTGTACACATTTAGTATACGAAGCTGTCGTACCTCGGGGTCTGTTCAGACTCACCACCGCGATGAACGGGTGTTTAGTATCGATATCCAGCACATTCCCGCTTGCTGGGATGTACAGCTAGCCAATGCAACAGCTCTCATTCGCCAAAGACATTCCCCACGCTCCGCGTTTATGGATGAAGCTGTCATTGCCGTTTCAAAATAGCCGACATTGTCTCTTACACATAAAATGACTGCGCTGTACATGTAGTGCATCACACCAGCAATCTGCTGTAGATCTACAGACAGTGCATGCAGCGAGCGGAGCATGCGCACTTGAGTAGGGTACTCGACTCACACGCACGATCTCTGGTCACAACTGCGTGGACTCGGCTACTAAAACATTTTGTGGAAGCAAACAAGCCTTCTTTATGATCCTGGTCATTTTTCTCAATCGACTCTGCGCTTCCAGCTAGATGTGTCCGTGGGGTATTGCCCAACTAGAACTGTAGTCCTCACATGCCCCAGGTCGCGAGGAGCTAATCACTTTTGTCAGCAGAACTCCTGCATTTATTCCGTCCGATGTCATCTCCGCTGCGAGTGGGGAGCTTCATGCCCACGATAAAAGAGAACGTCATGATATTATATTTTGAATCCTTCATCAGAGAAAGCTATTCGAGCTCAAAACGACACAAGACAATGGCCATGATAAAGATACTCGTACAGATCGCGATGTGACTGGCCTCCAAAAGTGCTGCAAGAGACTTGAAGTATTTTTCAAAACAAGATGTGAAAAAAAGGTGAGCGCTCGAGTGCGGCGAACACGGCCAAACGCCATGTTTTCCTTGGTAACATGACGTCAGCCACATTATCACCATGGCGAGTTGCAGCGCTGATCTTGAAGTACAGCGGCACCAGAAAAGTGTCCTTATTCTACCTGAGTCCAGTCGACTTTCTTTAGCCACGAGACTTGCATCGGACTGCAGACTTCTGAAAGAATGCATGGTCATCAGCATTCGAATCTGGGCTTTGCGCAGGTTGAACAAGAACTCGAGTTTTCTCAAGGTTTGGAGACTCCACTGTAGCCAATACTTGAATCCATACATCCTGTACACACACCTTGTACACACTCTCTCTAACGGTCTCTAGGCTACACTGCAATTGATATACATTAGATGAAATTTTCGGGCAAGGCCCATCATCAGGACCATTCCTGATGATGGGCCTTGCCCGAAAATTTGATCTAATGTATATCAATTGCAGTGTAGCCTAGAGACCGTTAGAGAGAGTGTGTACAAGGTGTGTGTACAGGATGTATGGATTCAAGAGCTCGAGTTGAGAATTATTTTCATTGAGCCGTGCGATCGGAGCAGCTCCTTGCTCACTCGCTCATTGTGTGGGCTCGCTGCTCCGTTTTATCGCTCTCTATCACTCTCCAACTTACTCAGTGCTAAAGTGGTAGAGAGGCCAAGCAGCGCAATATCCCTTCGGAGAAGTGGTATTTCAGTTTCGCTCGCCATGACTGTCATCACCTATGTTTCCACAGCGCAACCATCGATTCCGCTCGGCTTGTTGTGAAAGGTCTCTTTCCTTGCATCGTACCTCTTTCATGGAATGCCAGGGAAGGCCAAGAAAGTGATTGCCACTCATTTCACGGCAGTTTGTGCCCAAATCAGCCCCTCAAAAATCCATCACGAAGTTTTTGTTAACGGAGGAAGTAATTTGAAAGCATGTGTTACGTAAACCAGTAATTTTAGTTCTGATGGACAAAATAGCCTGTCATCTGCACACCGTGATGCCAATATACTCATGTAGTGTGCCTATTTCAATGTGCTTGCAAGCAGGCCAAGTCTACATGCATACAGGTCCTCTATCTTGACGGGTCTAGTTAGTACAGTTTGTGAATCATAGTCCACCAGCTCGGAGAGTTTCTTAAAGGGGCAATCAGGCTTCATTTTCGACGCCGAGTTTTCGATGGCAAGACGAAGGTAGGTGAAAGAGAAGACCCCTCGATCAAAAACGAGTCTCCAGAAGCGATCGAGTCGAGCGGGAAGACGACTTTTGAATTTCGCCGAGCGAGCGCTGATGATGTAATGAGGGATTAGCTTGCCAGTTGAAATCTGCGCACATACTTTTTGGCCAATTTTCAATCAAAGAGGAGGTTGTTTTCTATGTTCTCCCAATGTCGTGAACGATCCCGTCTTCTACACCCTTCCAGGTATCCTGAGGGTACTCCAGACGAGAATATATCTCCAGCAAAGCGTTGTTGATCCGCTAAATTCGTCTCGAGACATATTCACCCAGTGCTGATAAATGTAGAATGTTGAACCTGTGATAATTGTCGACGATGGAGAGAGAGGCTGATAGCCGCTGTCGCAGGGAGAGTGAAGCTGCTGGAAGTAACAACGGAGAGCCCGTTAGCATCACATGAGCATACAGGTCCTCTAGCTTGACGAGTCTAGTTAGTGCAGTTGAGAATCACAGTCGAGCAGCACGGAGGGTTTCTTTCAAGCATACCTGGAGTGTCAAGAGTTCCAACCCACTCAACGGACTACAGCCTGGGGGAATGTGTCTGTGAAAGAAGCTGCGGCGAATGTGTATACATCCTTAAAAAAATTGAATCAAAGCACCATCTAGATCAGCGGTGGCAGGAGTCTAGCGCCTCTATGATGCAGCGGCCTTTATCCGTAGCTATTTCTATTGTGTAGTATCTTGTCTGGTCTCTTTTTGATCTAGTGGTCTTAAACCGTAGGTATTTCTATTCTGTTCTATCCACCAGGTATCTGCACCGCAAGTGTGTACACGGCCTGGAATACAATTTGATCCCTTTGCCTACTTTAGATCGGTAAGGACGTGGGAGAGGTTTTGTGATGTGTATGCTAGCGTGTACCTGCTGTGTGAGGAAGTCTGACCTTGCACTCTTGTGCAGTTCATCATCATTGCACGTGTCGATCACTTTCTGGGTTCTACTGTTGTGCCAGCAACATTGCTCATGGTAGTTGGACTCGTGATGGCTATGAAGTCCCGTCATGCACGATCAATATAAGTGTGTGTGTGTGTGTGTGTTTGTGTTTGCGTGTGTGTATGCATGTGTGTGTTTGCGTGTCTGTGTGTGTGTGCACGTGTGTATGTCTGCTTGTCTGCTTGCATGTACGCACATAATGTGTATGTGGTTCCTGCAGCGCTTTTTACCAAGCCTGCCCGGAACGGCTCTCAGACTAGGAGAGTACGGGCCAGCAATCACTGCCACTACCACCAATGCTAAACCTGCTCGAAGGAAAGGTAAAGTTACCTTGAAGTAGTACAATGTACAGTAACAGTAGAACTCAGTTAGTATGTTGCATTTGTTTGTGACATGGGAAGCTTGGCTCGGCATTGTGAATCAATGTACTAACTTGTCATGCTAAAAAAATATCTGCGCTTACTTGAATATCCTTTTGGTAAATAACATTCTGTACTTAATATTATATTCCTCATGCCTAGGCTCATGGTGGAATCTAGGTAGTTTTTCCCTGCAATAACAGAATGAAGAAGGTGTGTATGTCATGTGTTTCTCGTTTTCTCTAACTCTTTTGCCGACAGATGCGTTAGCCCCATGGGTGATCTCACCCATGGGGTACATGCGAGGTGTTATTATTATTATTATTATTATTGAAAGAGGGAAGGTGAGACAATAGCAGTGAAGTGAGAGCTAAGTGCAACGGTGGGTGAAAAACTAATAATTATAACGCTAAAACTGTGTAGTGAGACAAACAATCATGCTGTGCACCTACGAAAACAATTTTAACGCAACTACATGTTTCTTCTGCTTACAAAGATCAGGCTTATGCAAACGAATACAAACAGCCTCAAGTACTTTCAACTGACTAGCATACCGTGCACGACAAAGAACAGAAAAACTAAAATCATCATACACCTGCAGACACTTAGGGTGAGACAACAAGTGAAGAAAAACGGCAGACTTCTTACGATCACAATCACCATCTGATTCCTCGTCTCCAACAACCGCAATCTCGTCCTCCGTTTCATCTCCCAACTCGTCCTCAGTGTCGTCCTCCGTGTCATTCTCCTCATCAACACTGATCGGTCCCAGGCTCGTTTGACGTTGTTTAACCTCTGTTCGTTGACTCCTCCTTTGATCTTGATGGCAACTTGTTACCATTGTTGTTGTTGTTGTTGTTGTTGTTGTTGTTAAATCTTGTGTTCCCAGTGTCCTCGCCGGTGCTTGATCTCCAGTACTGTAATAATTCATTGAATAATTAGCCGTTGATCGTCTAGGTCTTTGAATGTTGATTGTGTTACTTTCTTTGTTGAATTCCGTTCCCTTCAGCCTTCTTTCTCGTTGTTCACAATCAGTGCTTGCCTCATCCATATATGCACGTGCCACCGACACCACAGACTCAGCCCCAGCACCGCCGATGATAGATGTAGGTGGCGGTTCTGGGGGAGGCAACGGCAAAGACGGCGATGAGGGCATTACCTCATCACAGCGTCCACTTTGGTCTTGAGCTGAATGTTGTTGTGGTGTGTTATCTTGTGTTGTTATGGTGCATTGTGTTGTGGTGACAATATGCCCATTACCCGACTCCAAGGCTCTCGATACGGGTAATTGAGGCACTATTGCCGATGACGGAAATTGTGCTAACGATGGCTGTGGCCGAGGGTTCTTCAGTGGCCTGCCGCGTTTTGGTCGCAGTGCCCGTTGTGAACAACGAGAAAGAAGGCTGAAGGGAACGGAATTCAACAAAGAAAGTAACACAATCAACATTCAAAGACCTAGACGATCAACGGCTAATTATTCAATGAATTATTACAGTACTGGAGATCAAGCACCGGCGAGGACACTGGGAACACAAGATTTAACAACAACAACAACAACAACAACAACAACAACAACAACAATGGTAACAAGTTGCCATCAAGATCAAAGGAGGAGTCAACGAACAGAGGTTAAACAACGTCAAACGAGCCTGGGACCGATCAGTGTTGATGAGGAGAATGACACGGAGGACGACACTGAGGACGAGTTGGGAGATGAAACGGAGGACGAGATTGCGGTTGTTGGAGACGAGGAATCAGATGGTGATTGTGATCGTAAGAAGTCTGCCGTTTTTCTTCACTTGTTGTCTCACCCTAAGTGTCTGCAGGTGTATGATGATTTTAGTTTTTCTGTTCTTTGTCGTGCACGGTATGCTAGTCAGTTGAAAGTACTTGAGGCTGTTTGTATTCGTTTGCATAAGCCTGATCTTTGTAAGCAGAAGAAACATGTAGTTGCGTTAAAATTGTTTTCGTAGGTGCACAGCATGATTGTTTGTCTCACTACACAGTTTTAGCGTTATAATTATTAGTTTTTCACCCACCGTTGCACTTAGCTCTCACTTCACTGCTATTGTCTCACCTTCCCTCTTTCTATTTTGGCACTGTATTTTGTTCTCGTAACACATCATTGAATTATTATTATTATTTGTTTGTGACAAGGCAATAGTGGAACATGGAAAAATACCCCCCCCCCCCTCACCCAAGCAAAAATTTGTGTTGGCTAGGTCCAAGAGTCACAAGAGTATGCAACTGTGATTTCTCTTCTATGGGCCAGATGAGTGGCGCGCTGCCTTCATTACAGTCATGGAGCTGCGGTCCGCGCACTGCGCAAAATCAAACACCACACTTGCCTTGTGGTTTGAAATGAACTTTCGTACGAAACTGGAGCTCACACGACATATTTAGAGATCGCTCGCGTACTGGAACGAATCGAGAACAAGCGAATGTGCTGGTGCAAGAAATTGTGGGTTGGAATGTGTGCTTTCAAAGAGTGATGGAGGCAAGTTAAGTAATGAAGTCAGCGCACCGCTCGGACCCATAACCACAGTTGCATACTCTTGTTTATGCACTCTTGCTAGAACCCCGCTGAGGAAGTATGTAAAACATCGTAAACTGACATTGCTGGACTTGTACTTTGTGACCTTTGCCATGCACCAGCACCAGCCGCAGGAGGAGAAGCAGTGAAGAAAGCAAAGAGCCAAGCAAGAGAAGCGAAGAACATGCAGGCGGTGGAGTGGCCGAAGACACACGGACAATGGCTGGATCTACCACCAGCCGGGGACGCCGCAGATGACATGAACGCCGAGCAGCTAGCGGCTGTCGCGCTTCAGCAGCACTATTCCCACGGCAACAAGCACTGGCGACGCGATCGACTTGTCTACTACTCCAAGCCTGAAGTTGCGCCAAAGTTCAAGCGCTTGGACTTCATCCAAAGGCCAGTGCTAGTAGATGAGTTGCCGGTTGACTTGCCGCGTCCCATCTATCGTGCCATTCCTAAATACATGTATGAACAGCAGCAGCAGTGTGAGAATGTCAGCAGTGCACCACCGCTGGACTATACAGTGATAGCACCTACTAACACTGGTGCTCGGCCATTCTCTCCCATCATCACCCAGTGGAAGAACGGCCAACGTGTGACACACCTGCCTGAGCCTAAGTTTCCCGTGGCACCGCGAAGGTTACTGCGACCGGAGCACTGCACTTGCTTTCAGCCGGTGAGCGTTACCTCAGTTTGTCTGTGTGTGGCACTGATGTTCATTACACAGGGTGATTGATTTCGTACAGTGTTGAGTTGTTATTTATCTACTTTCTGCTAAAAAACATCTAGACACTAGTGAGGCACTGTTCTATGTGAACATACGTGTAGAAATATATAAAAACAATCAACAAAACAATCAACATGTTTTGTATAATTATGTATTATTGAGCAATATACGGGGCCCTGGAACCCCAGCATTGCTGCCGTATTGCCCTGAAACTCTGAAGAGTGGTGTGTTCCATTGGAGATAGCTGGCACAACCCAGGAAATCAATGGGTTGTTTGTTTTGGAGTGTTGTGGGCCCGCTTTACCATACAGTATGGTGATGACAGAGTATCAAAGATGGGATGACCCATTGTAAAGAACAGTGGTATTGACTGCAACCAAGCACTGGTTGGCAAGGCCTCAGTCTTGCCATCATGTATGACCTCATGTATGACGTCATAGTCATGGTCACAAGGTCAAGACTCTGCCAGCCAGCCTCAGGTTAAAGTTAGTATCTCTATTTCTTACCATGTGTTGTCGATGTTGTTATAGTAATCCTGCTGCCATTGTGAGAATAGTACTGGCCAGAGAAATCTAACCTCATGAATAAGGTAGCACCGTGTTCGAGAGCACAGGACAGTATGTGTAGTGCGACGGCTACATAGCACCCGGCGCTATTTATTCATAAGACTGGATTTCTCTCAATTAACCTGTACACTGTAGAGTATACTCGAAGTGAGTACACTATGTGTGTATACACTATGTGTGTGCTTCTGACATGGTTGATAAATATGGCGGTAAAGACACACCTGGCAATATGGCGGTAAACACACGCCTGCCCACATACGCTCTCTAAGCTGCAAAGTTCTGGCAGTTCAACTTCATTCGTACTTCTGACATGTTTCCAGAAAGAGGAAATAGGTTGGGAGCAACCTTGGAGCCACAAACACATGCCACCGAGTCGAATCGTTGACAGTATGTTCTGCACTGAAGGTAAGCTTCGTTATAGGTACTGTAACATGCCCATTATTCAAGTCACTAAGTCATCGCAACACCTCAGAACCAGAGGGTTTATGATGGGGAGTGTGCTCAGGAAAATGACGACCCATGGAGTATTAGAGTTGATCAGTCTGGGCGATCTAAGGAGCAGAGGGCTGTGCTGGGTTTTGTTTGCTGTCCTTCTCGAGTCGAGATAACAATTAAATATCAGCTCTTGCTGCTGCTACTGCTGCTGTGAATGCTGCTGCTGCTGCTCCTGCTACTGCTACTGCTGCTACTGCTGCTGCTGCTACTACTTCTGCTGTGGATGCACGTATAGGTTTATAACGGGTGTGCAGGTGTGGGTGTGTATGCACGCGCGTGTGATCAAAACCTTTCTTCCATGGCAAAACCATGTGTCTGTGTTTGCTTGTGTGTGTGTGTGTGTGTGTGTGTGTGCGTGCATGCATGCGTGTGTGTGTGTGTGTTTGTGTGCATGTGCGTGTGTGCCTGTGTGTCTGTGTGTTTGTGTCTATGTGTATGTGAGTAGCATTTGTGTGCGTATATGTATGTTCATGTGTTTCTTTAATTTTAATTTTTACAAAGACCACTTGAATGCCAAACCTGAAATGCAGCTAGGGTGTGATTGTGTTTGTGCGTGCTTTGCCTTGCAGGCGACTATGTGCTAGTTGTGGAAGATGTAACCCCGGGTGTTTTACCGTATGGACAATGTCTTCCGCCCTGTGTATTGCATATCAAAGTAAGTGTGCCGAGCAGAGGTGTTATCAGGTCATTGCAGCTTTCATGTCCTTACCTGCTTCTCCTTTTGGTCTTCTTGTTGTGCTAACGACTCTTGAAAGCTGGCCTCCTGACTTCAACAGTGCTGAGGCTCATCACACTTCCCTCTTTTACTATGAACGATGTGTTGTCCGGCACTTGATGCTACGCTGGACTGTGTAGCAGGAAATTATCGGACGGAATTTATTCTCGTACGATTTCGTACACGGCCTCTTTTGTACTGAAATTAATTCTGTACTAAAATTGAATTTTGTTCATGCGAAATTATGTACACTATACATTCATACTGCATGCGAACACGTGCATTTAGCATGCAGCACTGTACGAAAATTAAATCCGTACGAAAGGTCGAAATTTGGCTTTATCCCAAAAATATTCCCTTCCGAAAATGTCCTGCTATACAGCATTACTACTGGTGTGAATATTGAAATCCCGTGGACTGATCGTGGCCGGCACCCCCACTGCCTTAGCGCGTAAACAGAATGTAGGTAATGTATACACTGTAAAATATAGTAGCACTGCTCAAAGCTGCACGGCAAGCATCCGGTGGCCGCTTCACTGGTCAACAGGTTTCAATAGACCACAACACTGTGAGGAGTTTGGCGAATGCGACTCATTCATGAAGCCAGAGTGCACGCTCCAGCACCTACCGTAACATACTATGGTATGGTATGGTATACTATGAAAAAAAGGCTTCGGAGCAGACTCGCTCTCTTCCCATTCACTCTGCAAACTCGAGCTCATTTCTCAATCAATTTATGCAACGTTTCGGCAAAATTTCCTTCATCAGGTATGCATGGTATACTGTGGTATGGTATAGTATGGTATGGTATGGTTTACTTGGTATTGTTCGTTGAATTCTATGGTTCGTGATTCAGCTACAGCTAGCCACTGTGTATGTATTCCCAGACATGTGGTCACAGTGTAGTCTCATGCTACATGGTACGAACTTGTCCATGAGACCAGATCTCAATGGGCCGTAACACCAGCACATTACAGCTACACCGGGCCACCCCCTTCTTGGATTTAATGGCGTCAGAGCAAAGGGCTAGATGGTCAGTACTTGCATGATGCTCCTCGCTCACGACATGTGAAAGAAAGTTTCCTGAATGCCTTGAATGATCAGTAAAATCAGTTAGTCCTTGACTTGTTTCCTGTTGTTGATCACTGTGTTGTCAGGTAGAGCGTGACCGGTCGCAGGTGTTCATCCTTCAGTCTCCCGTACATGGTGGAGATGAGAAGCAAGGCAGTGAGGAGTCGACAGTCTTTGGTGAAAACACTTCACTGCTTAGGCCAGGAACTGGTGAGCAAACAGCCGCAGACATGACACAAAGCCATGGTGGTAATGCCTCTGTCCAACCACAGCCGAGCACAACTACTTCCGACTCTAAACTCAAAGAACAATCCAAGCAGAATGTGAAGCAACTCCCGAATGATATACCCGCCAGTGGCTCAGACCAACAAGCACGCGAGGAAAGTCGACACTCGGAACGACTGCTGGAAACCGGGTCTCCAAATGCAGACATGAACACAGAGACCTTTATGATGTCAATCTGTAAACCCCGCAGTATTATTGAACAATTTGTTCATGACCGAGCCACTGCCAACCCGCACGAGGACTACAACACGTTCAAGACGTTCAACTGGTCCCGGTATCCGGCAACCCGCTACCGGGAGGCGTGGGTCGAGTTTGTCAAGTTCCACTGTGTTTACTACTTCAACAAGCATGCGGGTAGCGAAGATGCAATGCTCAAAGATGCGTGGGTGCGCTTTCAACAGGAGTACTTTGCACGATTCGGCGCTGATGAGAGTGAGGACAAGAGTCGTGTGAAGGAAAAACGCCACTGCCCTACTCTGCGTGGCTGGCAGGGCAATGACAGTGTGTTGGCCGAATATCGCCGCTGCTGGCCACTGTGGTTCAACTCAGCGGAGGAGATGGAGACCTACGTTGCCATGGAGATGAACAAGCTAGAGCACCGTGCTAATCTAGGATGATCGGTCAGTGCGGCTATGTCATGTGATCGACAGTGTTATGTGACCAGGTATGTCATGTGATCGACGGTGTCATGTGATCGACAGTGTCATGTGATCGACAGTGTCATGTGGTCGACAGTGTCATGTGATCGACAGTGTCATGTGACCAGCTATGTCATGTGATGAATGCTGACCTTCATACGAGCTGTTTGAGTACTTTACCAGTCTTGGCTTAGATTGGCTATTTTCCACCATAGTTTGTGACTCTACTCTCTAGTATCAGGCTCAGTGCGTGACCCTAGTACTGTAGCATGAACAGTATTTAACCATAGCATCATGCACAGTGTATGACTCTAGTATCATGCACAGTATAAGCGCCCCCCCCCCCCCCCCCCCCCCCGCAGTTCAAGTACAGCATATGTACATCCACTGTCACAGAGCACGTGACACGAAGATCGAGTGACATTGTGTACGGTATGGGTCAAAATGGACAAATCCTGATTTTGAACAGAAGGCGCCTTGAAGCGCATTTTTCTGTGCTGTTCAAGGTCCAGCCAGTACTTGTTTAGAATGTCGTATTCTGCTACTGATGAATGCGGTGGGCACATGCGGACGTCCCTTCTCCAAGGCATGCAACAAAGCATGCTTCGGCAGTCATCACGATACGTTCACTCACTCCCGTTTACGTTTGCGTCTACGGTGCCAATTTCAATGGTCATGTCATCACACAAGCGCAGTTCTTGCCCCGTACCAGGGGCATACGCAGGGTTCTTCAGAGGAGGAGGGGGGTTAACAAAATTCCGCATGCCTATCACTGTGTATGTACAATAAAGGATCACGATATCGGCACTCTATGCGTATGCACGTGCAGGACGAGACAAGAATCTGGGGGCCGGGGGGGGGGGGGGGGGGGGGGGTCGCCCACACCCCTCAACCCCCCCCCACCCCCTGGGTACGCCCCTGCCGTACACCGCATGCCACATGCACAGAAACAATGTCGTTCATTTTGTTTTCCATGTGTTGCGGACATTGTGTTTTGCGCGGCTTGGATGTTACCGGTATTATGGATATAATTCTTAGGACCGAGCGTAGTAAAGCGCTTTCCTACGGGAAATCCCTCTGTATCAGTTGCCACGATTTTTTGCAATACAGCTGGATTGTGTCTATGCAGTACACAGCAGTGAGAACATACACATAGAGGTTTTTTGATGCAGAAGTGTTCAGTTAGCAGTTGGCCAGTCAGTAAAGTAGGGTTCACACGCCGTTGTTACCATCGCCCTGACAGTTTTGATCAAAACACATGAGTTCCGTTCATGTCATAATTATACAACCTTAAACCAAGTTGGCACGGTTATTGGCCATTCACTCGACGCCCAAAATTACTTTTATCGTATCGTTACCAAAGATATTTACTGGGATACGATAAACTTGGACACACGCGTGCAACTAATTTTTATCTTGGCCGAGGCCCTTTTGCTCGCGATTATCTTTGCACGCAAGCAAAAGTGTCGGTTGTTGAAAGTACTGCAAATGCACAAAGGAAAATTCAAAATTTAACATTAAATTTTCATTTTTAGGAGGTCACTATGGATACATTGACGGTTGCAACGTTTGCCCGGCACCGTGTGAACTGGATCACGGTTTGCCAGTTTTATCTTGGTCACACACGTGCAAGTGTTTGCACGTCGTGTTTGTTTGATTATTTACGGATTCTCCAGAGGTAAATGGATGCCTATCATGGAAGTCTCACCAAACCAATAAAATTATGAGAATAAAATTATGTATGGGGTGCAAAAAAACTCAAAATATGTGTGAATGGCCTATTAGTATTACCGGTATTGTGTAGGTGCTAGCGACAAGGCTGAGGTTGCCAGTCTTACTGGAAGCACCAGAAAAAAACCTTACCAGCGTCCATATTTCTCTCTGGGCCGCGAGTAGTGAATTCCCTGTACACGATAGGTGTAGGCTCTGTAAGGTGTGGCTCACACGTGGATTTACACTGTAAATCAGAATCAGCTTTAGCACGTCGTGGATGCGCATCCGCATCCAAGACGTACTAAAATGTAGAGCGGATTTGCAGTTCGTTATAGAACATCCGTACTCGTATTAGATAAACCTTGTTTTAGCTTACATTAATATGTTGATGGTTTGACATGGTTGTAGAAAGGTCACTGTTTCCGAACGCGGTGTCCTCCACCTGGTTTCATGCTGTCAATCCATAAGTATGTATTACTGCACAAGGACCAGTGCAATACCGGCCGATATCTGCACGAACGGCGAAGCCGTAAGTACAGATATCGACGCCGGTATTGCACGCGTCCGAGTGCAGTAATAGAGAGGTTTCGACCCGCGTGATTTGTGCTCTTACGTGAACGTCAATTTTTTGCGTTGACGCGAGCTCAGAAAGAGCTTTCGCTTCACGTTGCTTGTGAAGCACGTCGTTTCGCTGACGACAGGAGCGAAAACTTCAAAAAGTGAAAAAGTGATTTTCTGGTGAGGCCAAAGTCGCATAAATATTATTTATAGCTAGTTTAGGCAAAATCGACAAAATCGAGTCAATAATCCCAACCTGATAGCAAGGCTAAATTTGCAAAACTCACGTTCACGTCGAACGTGAGTTGACCTCAGCTCACGTCATGAACGGGAGTTTCGACGCCAAAATTTGCCACACCGACGTGAAATTTCACGGTGTAGTGCAGAACAACGTGAAACGAAACCTCTCTAATACATTTATCGCACCCCTGCCACCACACAGTCTGTCACCACCCACTTGACACAGTCTGGTGCAACCCTAGCATGCTGCATGCATGCAACCCTGCTATCATTTCACAGTCATACAACACAGCACAACCTGTCGCGTTCATTTTTAGAGGAACACTTCTTTCGAGCAGCTGCTGTATACACGGGAGATCCTGGAAGTAGCGGGACAGCTTGCTCATGTCGTCGTCGTTGATGGGGTGTTTGTGCTCCACCGCTTTGACTTCTCCCGCTTTCTTTGGCTTCATAGGAAAGCCTTCAATGCAATGTTTGCGTCCTTGAACGCTGGGTCACTGTGGACGTTCATGGGCCGCTTCAACTCGACTAGCTTGCGATGTATTGCGGAACGGAAACCGAGCAAGCTTGATGCAGAGTAGAACTTCACTCCAGCTTTCTTCGGACGGAATTCGACGTATGCATGTCGCAGAATGTAAGCTAGGTCGCTTGCCGTAACCGTACTCAGGTCACAGCGACGTCCTGTGTCTTTACAATACTCGTCGAATAAGCGGAGCCATTTGTCAGTTGCCTGCTCTGTGTTTTTGTTTTTCTGCTCAGAAACGAGGCTGTCGATGGCGGCGTCGGACAGTTTCTCAAATCGTCTGTCGACAGTCTTCTCCAATACTTGGGCGTCTGCTGTCTCGACTCTCACGGAGCTTGTGAAGTTGACTTGGCGGACGCAAGCCGGGTCCACATTCGCTTCCGCGACAGCGTCCTCGACCAATTATTATTTGGTGTGCTGCAGCAAGTCAGCAGCGACTGCTTGGCGGAGCGACTCGCAATATTCCCCAGTACACCGCCAGCCAATGACCAGATGACTATGTGGATGCACTGCAGTGCGATATTGCACCTCGGCGAGTGAGCGTGCAAATAACCTATAAATATAATATATCTGCACGCTCACTTCGAAGCGAGCGTGCAAATAACCTATATTTGCACGCTCACTTCGAAGTGAGCGTGCAAATATAGGTTATTTGCACGCTCACTCGCCGGGGTGCAATATCGCACTGCAGTGCATCCACATTGGCTGGCGGTGTACTGGGGAATATTGCACGCTCAGTAAGGCCGCTGATTGGCTCAAACCATGGAGACACTCACGTGGGGTGCGATAAACATCAGTACTCGTGCCGTTGGGCAGAGTCGTGCAATGTTATCGCATGAGCTGATTGTCCAGTTCCTGGTGGTGTTAGTGGACGTATTCGTTACAGTCATTGTGATTCTAACGTCCAGTAACGGAGTCCTTTTCCTTGAATGGGTAGAACAAGTGTAGCACACTCATGTATCCTAAGACCCTCGCTCTGTCTCAGGCTGTGTGTACACGGAGACGAAACGAAACGAAACGAAATCTTCCCCTCTTTTCTCCTGCCCAACCTTGCACCTTCCAAGTTGGAAGGCTGTTGGTTTGCAAATTGGAAATGTATATGTGTGAGAGCTAGATGATGTTAAGTCGTTGAATGTCTCAGTAGCCTGTCAGTTTGTGTGCCCTGTTACCGCACGCTCTGACCGCTTATTAACTTGTTACGGACGTGGATAGGTGTTTCATAAGTCGTTCTCATGTGTCTTCTTGTTCTATTTCACTTTACTTTCATCAATTTGAAATTCTGCTGTCATCGCCACACAGCAATAAAGTCATGTAAGTTAGGCCTCGACCAAATATGCTTGCGCATATTTCCGCATATTTTTGTGAGACAGTTCATATTATGGCATATTGAGCGACAAAGAGAGTATTGGAATGAAGCCAGCATATAATTCAAATATTCTGAAGAAAATGAGGACAAAACATTCATATTATGGACAAATGCGTTCAGAAATGCCTTTTATGGATGAATTTGGAATGGTTGAGGCGTTTGCTACATTTCCTCATGGATGAACACTATCGCTACAGTTGCTGGGGACACACCCCAGCCATACTATTCCGCATGTGTTTTGATTTGCATCATAAGTATGATAGCCGTGAAGCCAATGAATATTCCAAGGTTGTAATTTTACTGAAATGATCTACACTTTCTGCTTATGTCGAGCATATTTTGGCATATCTTTTTGCATATCTTGCTAAGCCTTTGGCATATTATGGACGTTTTCCCTGATATGCGACAAGTATAATATGCTCTTTTTTAAGCATATTTGGTCGAGGCCTAATGTAAGTCTTCCAAAAAAGTTATCACTTCACTTCTATTGTCTCACCTTTCTTCATTCTATTTTAACACTTTACTTTGTTCTCGTAACACATTATTAAATGTATGCTTCATCATTGTTCTGCATGGATTATTATTCAGTCACGACATTCGGAAGAAGGAAAAGGCCTCTTTTACGGGCAAAAAGAATACAATTGACAGTGGCATGGCGAATGATTAGAACACAACACCAAAAAATGAAAACAAAACAAGTTTCGACATTCCACTGATGAATTTGTCACGAAAATCGATTTTGGGAAACTTACTTTCAACAACAAGGTAAAAACCATGTTGTTGTGCGGCAATGACAGCAGAATTTGCTCTGT